ATTGTATATAGTTTCTTCTACCTGGCAATTTCCCAGCTTTTACCAGGGTCTGCGTTACATGTTGTGAATGGTTTTGGTTAATTGTTTTACGACCGGCCTGACATCAACCCTTTTTGGAAATGCATTAATCAGTGATGTCTAAATACTCTTAGAAAGTACATATGACTTTGAAAAATCACATTGATATGTACTTGCCAGGATCGAACCCCAACCCTCATGCATGAGAGGCGGGCCTTTTAACCATTAGGCCACCACTGACTTTATTGTATATAGTTTGTTAGTATGAAACTCACTTGTAAGATACTTGTAGAATAAAAATATGTACAATCATCAGCTTGGAATGTTGGATAGAAGATACGGCGACAGATACATATAAAGAGTCTAAATAATACATTATCTTAGTATATATATACATATATAGTATATAAAGTAAGGCTTGTCTAATCGAGAGCTTTTCGAATATTCTGATATTTTTCCTTGAATTCAAATATAGTTCTTATATAAAGTTAATGAAACACTATAGTTGAGATAATTATCACATATGTATTAGTATTCGAGGAATTTTGTTATGTAATTGTTGGTAATAACAAGTTAACAAAACTGTTCGTGTTTTAATAATATATATTATGTGTTTATATAAATTGAAAGATTAATTAGAATTACTTCTTATATATAAATATTTTATTGATATATGCTTTTGCATGTTAAAATTAGGGTACATATATGAAAATTTTACAAGAAAGTATTTTTTATTTTTGACGAACATAACAGTATAATATTTATTGACCAAAAATAAAAAAGATTTTAATTTTTAAAATCATCCTTTTTTTTGTGTAGATATAAAGAGATGTAATGTTTTTCTGTTCTCTTCTATTTGTTACACAATTATAAAATAGTTTTACTCATTACGAAATAATAAAAAATGTATGTCTATTAATTTTATGATAATTCACTGCGGCATTAAAACGTGTGTAGAAAAACAACGTACAGGTTCGTATATTAAGTTGTACTACATACTATACGAAATTCTAAAAACTGCTGCAGAAAATATATATGTACATAAAGCCGGCCACACACGCTACGGTCTATGGACAGGTAATCTGTACAGGTATGCCTGTGCAGGTCAACCGAAAAATGGTAGCGTTAAAAAAACTGCACAGGTCTATTCTCACACATTCCGATCTACATAACGAGATCTAAGATTTTCACGAGTATTCATTAAAATGAAACTAATATTTTTTGGATATATACGCGTGCTTTATTTTAGTAAACTCCATAGTCCCGACGTTTCGGTTACTTTAGAGCAACCGTGATCACGGGTAGACGAGAAGTGATTCCGGTCTACCTGCGAAGGTGGACCTCTCCGGTAGACCATAGCGTGTGTGGCCGGCATAACACGTTATCCCTACTAATATTATAAATGCGAAAGTAACTCTGCCTGTTTGTCTGTCTGTTACGCTTTCAAGCCTAAACCACTGAATTGATTTTAATGAAATTTGGTACAAAGATAGAGTTGTCCTTGGGAAAGAACATAGGATAGTTTTTATCCCAGACCTTTGTAAGGTTCTCTTGGAAACGCTATATAACCGAACTGCGGGCGCAAAGCTAGTATAAAATATATTATTATGAAGTCGATCTTATTATAATGATAATATTTAATGCCAATTTCACATGTTATCATGTTGGTGTCATATTCGTCATAAATGGATTACCTTAGTTTCATGTATCTCGCCACACGTCAAACTCTCTCTGATAAGCCGTCTCTGTTATCACAAACTACCGTCTAAATGTGTGACATAAACAAAACTGCATATATATGTTAATGATATTCATATATTCAGTGGAATTTAACACAGATTTCATATGTATAATCGATTCATATTTGTGTACTAGCCGTAGTCTTATACGAGTCGGCGAACCTTAAGTTAAATAGGATATTTTTCTATTGAATATTTTTATGTTTAAATAATTGTTATCGAAGAAAATATACAGACAAATATGGATGCGTATATAGATCTTCTTCTACCTGACAATTTCCCAGCTATAGCCAGGGTCTGCCTTACATTTTGTGAATAGTTTTGGCTATTTGTTTTTATGACTTTAGAAGAAGAAGATGGATAGGTATATACCTATAGATATAATATGATGCATAATCCGATAGTTTTACACATTGAACTGAACTCAACTCAAAATGATATTTTAAGTATATTTGAATATTTTTAGCAAAGTTGATCTAACTTTTACTTTATGAAATAACTAATACTTACATATTTATTAGGTACATAAAGCACCTAATAAAGATATCTAGTTTAATATGTACATATTTGTCAAGCACTGGTTTAGGTCCGAATTTCGCAAGCAAACATACGAGTGAACGTGTGGTGTTGATTTAACTTTAAAATGTTGAATTCCACAGCATCCTGTGAGTCAGAATTCAGAGGACGAGTGGTCACTGTAATCACAACCATCTTTATACATTCAGGTCATCTTGCCAAAAAAATCCACTTAATTTTTTATATTAATACATATTATTCTTGTTGTATTTTTTATATAAAACCTTCATTATAATAGTAGTTGGATATATCGGCGCTATCAGCATTAATGACGGATGCAATGTGAAAATAACGAGGCTGACATCAATTACTATTAAAACTTATTAGTATTCATGATTATTGTTAAAAGTAAAACGAAATCAAAGACTGTTTAAAAGGAGAATAGAACTATTTTTGAATTTTGGTATAAATATGACGTCTGGACGCACGACGACGGCAGAATTCAGAGTTCAGTGAGTGCGTATCATTGAAGTATGTGATTATGAAGAACCTTCGAGAAATACAGGAATATTTAGAACAATTTAAGTTTTATTTTATAATATCATGGAACGTATTGAAAGAAGTGTCATTAGTGACGTCTCTGATGCTGACGTCACTCTTTAAAAACAACGAATTTGTATAAAATCCGATATAAAGGGTGACTGGTGAATTACTATCAATATTTAAGGAGAATACTCGGTACATGATTCTCATTCGAATTATGTAAAAAAAATAGGTACTTAATTTTTGACCAAATTTCCGTATAAATAAATAAAGTGTGGACACGTTCCAGGTGTTCCAAGTGTGGACGCGTGCGGCGGCGTGTTGATACAACACCACGCCGCCGCACGCGTGTGTGTGTGTGTATACCTAATCTGTGGGGTGTTCACACGATGCGTAATTAATTACATAACTTTTGGTTAACTTTACTTAGAAGTTTATTAATATTTATGTTATATTAATTTTTATTCTGTCATATATGATCGTTAAATATCACGTCCTCAAGTATCGATAGTAATTCACCAGTCACCCTGTATATTTGTTTTTTACTCGGTGTCCAAGTACCTACAAGCTCCACGGTCCAATATCTCATTCTCTCCTTGGCAGTTCATCTCGCCACCGACCGGGCATCTTCAATTATCTAATAAGCAACATCCTACTTCCTCTCCTTAATAAATATTTGTCGTTTTCGTCTTTAATGCTTATATCTTAAGGAATAATATCACATGCGAATATATTGCGTTTTGCTTTTCAATCGAATGTATATTGTTATATGAAAAATATCTTAGATGTTGTCTGTAAATAAGAGAATTTTAAGATAAATGTTTGACTTGTTTAATAACGATAATATTATACAAGTTTTCATTATCAATGGAGTATCCTCAAATAAATGTTTTTTATCACGTCGTCTGTCCTCAGCTTCTATCGCCGTACAAACACGGCTATAATATGTTAATAAATATAATTGAAGTGTTTGTTTGTTGTGTCAACATAAAATTTCCACATTAATTACAAGTGACCTTTATATACCGAGTATTTATGTTTTTCAAATATAAATACGATTTATGATATTTTTGTACATGTGTTTCTGCGACTAACCTTGAATTGACAGGACGGATCGTAATCGTACTCGGAGGAGAGATATTTTTGTAGGAGAAAAAGTATCTTTTATGTAATAAAGTTGTCAAAAACTGAATTTAAGAAATGTCAAGAAGTGTCGGGATATAAATATATGTATATCCTTTTGATGTACAGTAATATGATGAGTATTATAATTTCGTGAGTGAGTTAACTTACAAGGTACATAGTGTTTATTTGTAATACGGTTTTAGTAATATTTAGAGCGCTCCTCACAGCAACTCATTTTAAGATCTATAAAGCGGTCGGCCCACTCCTGGACTAAAAATATCTTCACATGTGCTCCAATGAATATGGTATTAAACATTTTATAGTCCCACTTGGATAGAGGTTTGTGATGTGGTGATAAAAAAAACATAAATAATATTACGAGAGTCAGTTATTTATCGAAAGTTATTAATTTTAATAAAAATTATCCTTGAAGTACTATTTTTATGTTGTGTATTACCTTCTGTCCAACTTCCTTAATCTTTGTTCCCTTTCTTGGTGTGAAGTGGACAATCATCTTGAGCCAATTCTTGACAGAAGAGAAAGATGATAAGAGGCTTTTAAACCTTTTAAGTGTATCAGAACAAAAGATAGAAGAAATGATGTCTAAGACTTTCGAGTCTTCATTTAAAATGAAACTATGTTTTATACTCATCTGCCCCTGGTCACGGTTAATATTTAGAAAATGTGAAATATAATTGTTACTGCGCGTATATACAAAACATTAGTTTAACTTTATTTATAAGTGCTAGACGTTCTGTGAATGTGGATGGTTGGTTTGTAAGAGAGGCATTCATTAAAGAAGGTCATAGTATTAAAATTGGTTTTAGTTGTGACCGGTTAATTTCTTCATAATAATGAATTCCGATAGTTTATGTCCACGCGATGGACCCGGCACCCGCACGGTGAATCCATTGAATGCTAAGAGGTTTCGTCTTTCTCCATATAATTAAAAAACTTATTCTATATCTATATTACTGATGTTTCGTTTTAAAAACATTATTAAATTGACAATGATGTCTTTTTTATCATATCATATAGTAATAGTTTTTCTTGTTGCAGGTAACAGTATGGTGTTTGGTGGCGCTCATGACGTTTAACACGGGTCTCATAGAAACTAGAATGGAGGAAGTGGACTCTAAGTACAAAAGTATGGAGGTTAGTCAACACTGTAACTATCTCGCTACTATCATAGTTACCAGCATAGGAAATATCTATAGGCATCTATCTTAAAAGGCGCTGTCAGCAGTAAAATCTCAATAGGCTTCTCAGCTCTATAGCCTTTGTTAGTGACTGAATATCTACTGACAGACTACCCTCGATAACACTTTGAATAAATTATTGATAGGGTTCAATCATTGAAAAAAAAGTATAGCATACAATGAATTAAAGTCTCTAAACTTTAAACTACCATTATTAAGAATACTTTGATTTTGTGTTAAAAATAATATTTACTGGCGAATAAAGATGTTATCATACATGTGGGACGGTTTTTATTTCATTTTATACGATAAAAATTAAAAATTTCTTTAATATTAAGTAATTAATTCAGTTATGGTAGTTGATAGGAGGCTTTTATTATAGCTAATACCCACACATTACAGCTAATGAGACAGTTAAACGTTGTTAATTGTTCATGTATGTTTTGTATGATAATTTAAATGAATGTATCAGCCGCATCTGACTTCCACGGAGAAGCCGAAGCTTGAACCTCATGTGGATTTGAAGATGGGCAAATGTTTCCACATGTCCCGGGAACACTGCCCCACGGAGACCAGGTGTAAGAGAGTGGACCCTGTCTCCGTGTTCTGTTGTGATGTAGACAGCACCAAGCTGAAGGAAGCCTTGGCGATCACCGGTGAGTTTATTAGAACAGTCTTCTTCTTCTTCTTCCTGGCAACCTCCCAGCTTTAGCCAGGGTCTGCCTATTAGAACAGTATAGTTACAGAACTTAACTTAGAGCATAGGAACATTTACCGTTTATATACCATATAAAATTTATCTTCCTTTTTTTCGTCCTTCCACAACAAATAAGTGTTGAGTGTATATGATTTCTCACTATCAATATCAGGCAGATTTAAATTATCCCTACTACATAATATTATAAATGCGAAAGTAACTCTGTCCGTCTGTCTGTTCCGCTTTCACGCCTAAACCAAAGATCGGATTTTAATGAAATTTGGTCAGATATAGAGCTGACCGTGAGAAAGAACATAGGATAGTTTTTATCCCAGACTTTTGAAAGGTTCTCTTGGAAACGCGATATAACTAAACTCCACGCGGACGAAGCTGCGGGCGGAAGGATAGTATTTTATAAAGCAATGATATTTGATTTACAACAATGAAGTATTGTTATTTCATATATGTGTACTGGCACCAGCATGCATACGAAAAGTTTTCATAGTAACACAACGTGACGAGCGAAAATAGTTTTTCTAGTTATAAATCTTTCCAAATTATAGTATTAAAGTAGATTATTATGGGATATAAAAAGTCGTTTGTGAGTCAGTGGTGGCCCAGTTGTTAAAGGCGCGCCTCTCGTTGCCGAGGGCGCGGGTTCGATCCTGGCCCGGGCAAGTACCAATGTGATTTTTCCGAATCATATGTACTTTCTAAGAGTATTTAGACATCACTGATTAATGTTGATTCCCAAAAAGAGGGTTGATGTCAGGCAGGCGGCCGGTCGTAAAAACAAATAGCCAAAACTATTCACATCATGTAAGGCAGACCCTGGCTATAGCTGGGAAATTGCCAGGTAGAAGAAGATAAAAAGTCGTATGTAGTGTGACGATTGAATTTATGCTAAGAAAACCGATTTTTAATATACACTTATACAAGTAAACTTGTACTGAATATTATATGGAGTTATTTAAAACAATCGCCTTCGTATTATTACATATATTTTTAATAATAATTCTCCTTTACTTTTGTTTCCCGGAAGTAGGTTAAGTAGTGGATGACGGTATGCGGGTATTTCGAATATCAAGTATTGAATGAGAGGAATTGAAAAGAATATGGTTCACATACTGTGAATACACTTGACTGTCTGTGAACTGACGAGTGTAATCAAATAGTTGAATATAAAGATATTAAAGTATGTCATATATTTAATATATAATTTTTGATTGTTTTAAAGACCTTCATCTGTACAAAGACGTGCACAGGATATTCTGCCAGTGTCTTGTAGAATGGAGGAGACACAATCACATAATTTTTAAATGTCAATTATAATGAAACTTAAGTAACTATGAAATATTTGGTATCCAAGTTTTAAGTCTCAAATAGTACTAAGGGGGCGTTTATAAAATACGTGAGATATTTAAGGGGGGGAGGGGGTCGAGTCCAATCTCATCTAATCTTACGTAAGAGGGTCTCGGCAAATATCACGTAATTTTATTCTGAATTAAACAAAAATATACTATATTGGTCCACTTAAACCAGATTGTACATATAAAATTTAATCTTAAGATCATTCCCTAATTCATTAAAAAAAATGTCTTTTATATGTATTTCGACGTTATACATTTACTGACTATCAAGATACCGTCCCCCATCAAAAAAATCTCTCGTGAGATTGGGGGATGGGGGGAGGGGATTGAATAAAATCTCACGACATCTCACCAAGGCGGGGGTCAGAAATTTAAAAAAAAACACATCACATAATTTATGAACCCCCCTAACGTCTAAGTACACATGTTGAAAGTACTAAGTACATGTATTATTGTATAATGTATTATCCTCTTAACAGTATGTCCACAGTATTGACAAGTATATTCTTACATTGACATCGTTACGGGCCAGCAGACCTGGTGGCGACTTATAATATTACACGTGATTCTTCTCGGTATTAGATGCCAAGATTAAATGCACATTAGATACCTATTTGTATATTGTAACACAAAGTATACAAGGACTCTCATATAGTTAGCTCCCATTGAGCTAGATCTTTCTCTTAAAAACATCTTCCCGTCACCTCAAGTACTTATGTCATTACTTCGCTTCAGAGACAACCATCTATATATATTAATAATAATGACGCAGCGTGTCTGTGTGTACCGAGCAGATAGCGCTGTTAATGTTCTATAATTAGATATAAAACATTCAACACTAAATCTCTGGCAAACAATAGCTTTGTTCACATGTCGTGGGTATAGACGCGTCATCAAGGCTAGTGCCGCTTACGATATAGTTCTGCTCATTATATTTCAAATGTTATATTAATAAAATAAATATTCAATATGAGACAACAGAACTAAAATATCCATCTAATAGTTATTATACTGTTTACAAATAAACTGTGTTTTACATATATAAAGATATGTTTGTTCAAACAACATTAACATTAAAACAGTAATTTACGATCTTTTTAAAACCACGAGCTCGAACACGTACACGCTGCATGTCGTTAATGTGTGCGTTCTGATACCGCGATACATTTAGCATCGGCTACATATTATAATGTTATTCAAGAATTTATTACATCGCTTAAGGAAATACTACTATTAGGTTGGTGCGTATGAAATGTCGGATTCTCTTTACATGCGGACGTTTGTCTCCCTGTTTTCGTTATACTTTCGTCTTTGGCATAACCTCACTCACAGTCGTATTGTCCATTGCCAGAGACTCATTTCAGCAAAAAAGGTTTTCTCGAAGGTCTTCCCTTTTGTTATTTATTTGAGTTTATTGCCGATATGAATTCTGCCGAGATTCGCCTCATTTTCTTATATGAGTACAAACTTGGTAATAGTGCTGCAAAAGCTGCACGCAACATAAACCAAGCCTTTGGGGAGAATACGATTAACGATCGGAAAGTGCAGAGTTGGTTAAAAAAATTTCCGACTGGCGATTTTTCACTGCAAAATGAGCCACGCGGAAGACCCAAAACGTCTGTGAAAAATAATGACCTGAACTCTCTAGTGGAAGCGGATCCAGCCGTATCCACGAGGGAACTTGCTATCAGGATGAAAGTTGACCATACAACGATATTGAGACACCTTTCTGAGATTGGCAAGGTTAAGAAGATGGACAAGTGGGTACAACGCTCGGCCGCATACATCGCACAAAACAATTGCGAAACTGAACGAACTGGAATATGAAGTTTTGCAGCATCCACCATATTCACCGGATCTCTCGTCGACCGATTTACATTTTTTCAAGCATTTAGAGCTGTTTTTAAGGGGCAAACACTATGAAAATGAAGACAGTCTAAAAAACTCGATATCAGAGTTTTTTAATTCTAAAGACCAAATTTTTTTTAAGACAGGCATCTACGCTTTAAAATCTCGTTGGGAGAAGTGTATTGAAGCGAATGGAGCATACTTTGATTGAATAAACAGCTTTTGAAGAAAGATATGCAGTTTTATACAATCACTTAAGAATCCGACATTTCATACGCACCAACCTAATATTTGTTGAGCCTAAATATATAATGTTTTATCACATATACACTTTATATTACTTGATACTTGTATTATAATAATTAATTATATCTAAACGAATGATGCTATGTACACAAATTTATTTTATACTAGCTTTCCGCCCGCAGCTTCGCCCGCGCAGAGTTCAGTTATATCGCGTTTCCAAGAGAACCTTTCAAAAATCTGGGATAAAAACTATACTATGTTCTTTCTCAAGGTCAACTCTAACTCTGTACCAAATTTCATTAAAGTCAGTTGATCAGTTGAGAAGCGTGAAAAACAGACAGACAGACAGAGTTACTTTCGCAATTATTATATTGGTAGGGATGTATTTGTGAACTGCTAAACTCTTTTTGCTGAATTCGTTGTGTTTTTAATGAGCAATGAATATTATCTAAAACTAAATGATATCAAAATGTGTCTGTCGTTGTTATAATATTTGTTGTATGGTATGTGTCCAGTGACTCAGAACACAGTCAACCTGCATGTGTTGAACGCCACTATCGAGGAGTTGGATGTATCTCAGTCAATATTCCGTCGCCTCACTTCCATGGCGCTCACTGACGGAAACATCGGGAGAATTGTTGGTATGTACACACGAGTAGTATACATTACATAAACACATACAAAGAGATTTCTTTCATCATATTAGTGTTTATTGCTGCCAATTGATTCTATATATTTGCTTATATTCAAAATTTCGTCGTAATGATTATTTTCTCTTGTTTAACGCAAGCCGAGGAATATTTGTCGGATGTAAAAAATAATGGAAGTAAGTATATTGTATGTGATCTTTATTGACAGGGATATAAAGAATTGTGTTTAATATGTACATATAGCCCAGTCGGCATAGGAATATTTTGTGTTGTGATTGGTCCATTATTTTCGTGGACTCCAGGTCAGTTCCCCAAGTATTCTTCCATCGCGTGCCTGAACATCTCCAACAACAACCTGAGCTCAGCCACAGTAGGCGGGCCGCAGCCGGTCCAGCGTCCCTTCGCCTATCTCTTTACCTTATCAGTTCTGGACGCCTCCGCTAACAACCTCACGGAGTTCCCTCTCAGCCTGATGCAGAGCAACCGAAAGATATTCCTCGATCTATCTGGTAAGTGTGGGTTCCGTACACTTGTACTTTGTAACCTATTAATGCTTGATCGGGGATTAGTTTGGAATCAGCCTAAGTTTCTTTTTATTTAAATGAATATGGTTAAACTTTAAAAGGATAATAATGGATTAGAAATCTTTGTGGTGCCTTAATTGGTAGATTACAGTGAATTAGATGCAGTGACATAAATTTGGACACCACTGATTAATGCATTCCCAAAAAAGGGTTGATGTCAGGTAGAAAGCCGGTCGTAAAAAAATTTGCCAAAACATTTAAAGCAGACCCTGGCCAAAGCTAGGAAATTGCTAGATAGAAGAAGAGACAGTGACAATTAATGATGCTCATTAATATTTTCCAGGTAACAATTATCTTCCATGCAAACACTTCTTGATAGCCATGGAGGCTAACAACAGTTCATTGGTGACCTTCCTCAACTACAACCGTACGTTCTGCGCCCTGGACCTGATGTTCAACTGGTTCACTGAACTACAGATAGTACCCATCGATCACCTCCGAGTACAGAAAGAGGTATGTAGGATAAGTTGTAGGAACTTAAACATGGGTTATATTGATTATAAAATCAACAAAAACCTCTATAAATTATCAGGAATTGAGAAATAGTGACAATATTTATGGTAATGGTACTGACAGATAAGTCAGTAGTGGCCTAGTGGTTAAAAGGCTCGCCTCTCATGCATGAGGGCGCGGGTTCGATCCTTTCCCTAGCAAGTACCAAAGTAATTTTTCCGAGTAATATGTACTTTTTAAGAGTATTTAGACATCACTGATTAATGCATTCCCAAAGAGGGTTGATGTCAGGCAGGTGGCCGGTTGTAAAAACTATTAGCCAAAAAACTATCCACAGTATGTAAGGCAGACCCTGGCTAAAGCTGGAAAATTGTCAGGTAGAAGATGATTTATGGTAATGACAGAAATTAATCGATATATCAGAAATTTCACTTTTAATTTATGTTTGTTTTTTATTAATTAGTGTTGTGTTTTTGTATTTTTTTTTGAAGAAGTAATTTAATTTAATTAGATTAAGGTGTTGTTGTTGTTGTTATAAACTTTTTAGACAGTGCTGTGAATACCCGTAACAGGTACATATGAAGACCTATACTTTTGACTGTATTTTTGTGTAAATGCTGCATATGTGTACTGTTGGTGTTCCTAAGTAAATAAAAATAAAAAATAAAATAGAAAAGTTTTAAGAAGTATACTAAACCAAAAACTTCGTATCTGTATTCCAATGATAGTCACAACAGTTCCTCTCGCCAGGTGAACGCCAGCTGCCTCAAGATCCGTCCCCCTGAGTCCAGGTGTTCGTGCGCGCCGGACCGCCTGGAGCTGCTGGACGGAGCCGTCACCAACGTGGTGGCGGTGGACTGCTCGCGGAGACACCTGCAGCAGATGCCCACCAACCTGCCGCCTAACACCGTCAAACTCAACGTCTCATACAACAATGTGAGTTAGCACTAACTACCTGATCCGTGATAATGATTGCACTGAATAATTTGTTAGCCAGGATTTGGTTTTTGATTCTTGAAAGCTAACTCCTTACATATATTCAAAATCTGCTCATTGGATAGGCCAAAAATTCATCTTCTCATATAGAATTAATACTGTTTTTACAGATAACGTCTCTCCAAGCGGTGTCAGACGACCCGTCGTACGAGCACCTACGGAACCTGCTGGTGGACCACAACGACATCACCAGCATCGTGGACCTGGAGGGGACCAAGTTCATTGATAACTTCATGGTCTTCTCCATCACAAACAATAAGCTCAAGACGGTCAGTATATTGGAAGATGAGACTGTAAAGAGGTCATAGAATTACATGGCAGGAGATAATATGTATGCTCATGATTAATATGACTGTCTGCGAATGAATGATTTGATAAACAAAGTGCTTGTCAGCATATTGGTAGAGGAAATATTTTACTGTCATATTATGTTAAAGCACAAACGAGCTACCAAGACAGAAATAAGAAATATTTTTAGAATTGTTTTATAATAATATGAGTGCTAGGAAAATAATTTCAATTGCTTTAAATGTAATATATGTCTTCTGGGTTCTCGGTTTAAAAATTACATTTTCTTTTCCAGATTCACACATACGTGTTGTCAAATCGTTTCGACACAACCGGCCCATCATTCTTGATCGCCAACAACTACATACACTGTGATTGTAACACTGAGAAAGTACTAAAGGTAAATATTAATTTAAAAACAACAACAAAAAAGTGTGTGTGATGTGAGGTAAATGTCGGACAGCGCCATCTATAGGCCGTGTTACGCAATTGACAATACTTATGTTAGGTATATGTAGTAGACAATTCATATATTAAATAATACGACAATTAAACATTTGATGATTTAAACTTACATGTTATTCTAACCTCTTAGTTTTATTATACAATGCAAGAGTAAGAAATTTACACTGATTCATTATTTCTGTCAATAATATTAATGGTGTAGTGTTGTACGATGACGGTCGGTCTTATGTAGGATACTGTACTTCGTTAATTTATCTTGTCTTTTAATAAATAAAATGCATCATCAATAACGTCTAAGTAACTCTTCATATCATTATAATATATAATAAAATAATTCCAGCCCTGGCTGCTCGAAAATCTAAAAAGCATCCCGGACTACAAGAGTTTAGAGTGCGAAGACAATATGGGGCCAGTGGTGGAATTGAAGGAGTTCCAAGTGTGTCACACGCCGCGAGACTGGACCGACTACATCTACTACATCATAGGCTTGGAAGTATTGATCTTGGTTTTGTTAATAAGCAAGGTCTCCTATGACTACTGGGTCTTCAAGACCGCCGGCTACCTGCCCTGGCCCGCCAACAAGATGCCCAGGCTGCCTTGTGATTGGCTGTGCGAGTGAAACTCACTGTGAACCCGCCTTAAATGTTAATATTATCTGTCGCTTCAAGCTTTATGACAGTTTATATCAAATTGTTGTTTATGGTTTTTGACGTTTGACTTTTGAACATGTCAAAATATGGCTGTTTAGGTTAACACAACTAGAAAATTAAAGCTATAAAAATAACTAAATTATGGACTTAAACGACAGTGTTACTTGTTTATAAAGTACCATCATATAATACATCTCACTATCAAGTTAGGAACGAAACCATTATAATTATGAATCTATTTTCATGTTAAACTGTTGTTAAAAATATTCATTATTAAATGTAAAATAGTAGATGTATATATACCAAAAATATCATTTAGTTTATAAGAAAACTACAACTTAAGTGCTACCAATGTAAGACAATTTTATTATACATATATGTATATTGAGTAAAAAAATTATTTTGGAAAAGATTTATTATGACTGAGTCAGATTTTTATTTATAGGAAAATTTTTCTAATAAAATGAGATCAAATATTTAAGTAAAAACGTTTTCTAGAATACTGTTAGATTCTATTGATGTTCATAAATGATTATTTTATAGAAAAAACAAATATAATATCGATTTTTAATAGAAAAGTGTCTTTGAAATTGTAGATTAATATTTGTAAGTTACAAATAATATTAATGATTCCATTGAGGCTTGTACGAGTGCCATATCACTGGCTTAGATTATGTTTGGGGTAGATGTAATGATAGTATAATGTTTGTATATAATGCACTGAAGACTGTATATTTTTATTTAAATGACTTAGTAAAGGGTTCAATACTTGTTTATGTTTTATTTTACAAATAACAAGAATAAATTTCCATTTTAATAAGTTTATTTCTTCTTAAATATTCTTCTTTTTCCCGAGCTTCTTTTTTCTTTTATTTCCTAGTTTATTTTCTTTTTGTTTAATATGTTTCTTATGCTGATTCACATTGTCAACTTTCCTCTGTTTTCTGTGTTTTCCGTTACTAATTCTCTCCGTCTTGTCCTTTTCAGTTTTGTTTTCTTCTTCGGAGTCAAGTTTTCGTCTGAAATATTATTGAAATTAAGTGTTAATGCAACCAGCAATATATTGTATTGTGCAAGTTTTTGTTAGACACTTAGAATAAGTAACATTAAAAGTTTTGGTAATTTTCTTGTTGCATATTAAATTTTAAAATCATTTTTTAATCTGTATACAATTATTATATATTTCATCAAACAAAAGTTATTTAAATATATGACAACCTTCTTTAAACAGATGAGAGGTAGTGAAATTAGTGTGATATTCAAAAACACCAAAATTTTTTGTATATAAAATATAAGTAGTATTACTTTTCAGGTTTTTTGACTATCGTAGATATCTTATCCCTGTGCGGTGCCTTCTTCACTAGTCTCTTCCTCTTGTTGGGGTTCTGTTTTAGTTTCAGCATGTACTCGGGAACCTCACAGCCTGACTGTTTCATGACGGCTGCAATACTGATTACAAATATATATGATATTATTGTTAGTATAATATACTTTTTGTACTGTGATAGGTATAGTATTACTTACTGACTACTTATTTTGGTTGAATTCTTTTCTTATACATTAATGATTGAATTTCATACATAAGAAATAATTTATTTTATAATAAAAATTATACGAAATCTTATAATGGAAAAAAATTATAATATTTTATTATGAAAATATATGTGAGTATATTTAATATATGATGGTATATCAAACACCTCCTCAAGTTGACCACATCGTCCTGGGTGAAGAATGTGATGGCCCGACCCTTGGCACCCGCGCGACCAGCTCGCCCCACTCTGACAGACAAACACACATATTAAAACCTTATACTATACGCGTGGTGGCCTAGAGGCCCGCCTCTGTTGCATAAGGGTGCGGGTTCGAAACCTGACCAGTACCATTGTGATTTTTCCGAGTCATATGTACTTTATAAGAGTATTTAGACACCACTAACAGACGGTAAAGAAAAACATCGTGAGGAAATCATTGCTTATAACTTCAAATAATAAGTTTGAAATCACCAACCCGTATTGAGCGAGCGTGGTGATTAATGCTCTAACCTTCTCCATGTGAAACGAGGCCTTTGCTCAGCAGTGGACTATGATAGGCTATTGATGATGATACTATATGAACACGCAGCTTTTAACAACTAGTCTCAACTATATATTTTATTCTTCATAATAATACTGTAGTTTGAGCCCGACCTGTGTATGTAGGATATAGCGGAGGGCGGTAGGTCGTAATTGATGACGAGGTTCACCCCCCGGAAGTCGATTCCTCGCGCCATCAGCTCCGTACACAGTAGTACCCACACGCGACCCAGGCGGAAACTACGGACTACCTTATCACGCTGAAACATAATGAGACGAGAAGTCATTAAAACATTCCTAGGACCTAGCGGAGTAGTAGTATATTCGCTGTTGTATGAGATCATAATTGTTAACAAACAAACGATGTTTATAGGATCTTGGGACAAAAACAACGCTGTCTGTCTGTCAAGGGGCTGTATCTCCTGAACCGCGTTATAGAAAAGTTTTACACAATTCTATTGTAAAAGTAACAGCAATTTATATACAGGGTGACTGGTGAATTACTATCAATATTTGAGGAGAGTACTCGGTACATGATTCTCATTCGAATTATGTAAAAAAAATAGGTACTTAATTTTTGACCAAATTTCCGTATAAATAAATAAAGTGTTGACACGTTCCAAGTGTTCCAAGTGTGGACGGGTGCGGCGGCGTGGTGTTGTATCATCAGCAGTATGTGTGTTTGTGTGTATATACCTAATCTGTAGGGTTTTCATACGATGCGTAATTAATTACATAACTTTTGGTTAACTTTACTCAGAAGTTTATTAATAGTTATGTTATATTAATTTTTATTTTGTCATATATGATCGTCAAATATCACGTCCTCAAGTATCGATAGTAATTCACCAGTCACCCTGTATACTAAATACAGAATAAATAACATTTTAAGTGCTTTCTCATACAAGTGACATAATTTTTTGACGTTTGTAGATACAGACATTGAGTAAATCGACAAGGGTCCAACTACCAAATTGGGGGAGGGGGTATTTTTTGATTGAAGAACAGCCGTAATATTAAATAAGGTCTCGTTAAGAGATCCCTCCCCATAAGCCGAAGGACCTGTTGATTTATTGATGAGTGTGTCAGTATGTGTGTGTGTCACCTGCGCCTGTGTCCTGTCTCCGTGTATGACGTCCACCTGGATCCCGTCGTACAACAACTCCTTGAACAACTCTTTGGCGCGATCTTTACTTTGGACGAATACTGGAATACGATAAATTAAAATATTAACACAATAAACGTTTGTCCTAAAAATCATACGACTGATATATCTACAATTATAATACTTATGTATACATGTATAATAGTTTTTGCTATTATTTTTTCTTACTCTAATTCTCTATTTTTTATTGAACACTACTCCTTACATCTCTTCTATTCCGAGTGTCAAGTGGGCGTAAAAAAGTTTTAGTTCATAAAGTTTTTTCAAGTGTTTAGTATCATTATTTTGAAGACAATACAATAAACGTATCCTGTTCACATTGCAAATATTTTAAATTATAACATGTATATTATATATTAAAAGTTAATATTCAACCAATATATGTTATACATAGTGTTATATTATAATTCTCGTGTACCTAGTACGGGTGGTTTGAGTCCCTTTTGTATGAGTTGTCTGAATGCCACCAGTTTCCCGCTCTCGTTGCCACAGAATAGAAGTTCCTGATCCACAGATGAAGAAGCTGCATTCCTGGAAATATTTTACGGTCATCTATATCGTTGTTACTACACACATACGTAGGTATAATGAGCTAAAGTCACACTAATAAAAAGTTAAAAAAAATCTCTTGGTCCAAATCTGCACACAATACATATTATTATATGAATATTTTAATAATTTTAATTAAATAATTACATTTATAATTTTTTTTGGACCTTTTGTCTAAATCACTGCAAAGTACATACAAGTAGTACAAGTACAAGTTTCAGGTCTATAGTATTTTTTAGTACCAAAGAGCTATTAATTTACAAACAAAATAAAATACTACGGTACATTGCAAGTTAAATGATATAATAAACTAACCTGTGTCCGACTGTGATGTTAATGAGTCCCCTCATGTTGTGTCTCGCCCACTTGGCGATAGATGGCGTGTGTGTGGCGCTGAACATGGCCAGGCGGGACTTACAGCTGCTGAGGATCACGTCCAGCTGTTGGCGGAACGTGTCCACCTCCTCCTGGGAACCCTCGAACAACTTGTCAGCTTCATCTATGACCAGCCATTGGACCCTGGAATATTGTTCGTGAGAGATATGTACATTTACTCTGTCATGTTTACAGAAGGCTCATTGAGGTAGGGTCAAATATAATGACTGTCTATCATCTATAGTATTCACTTATAGATACAGTATATGCCTTACAGTTATAGTATGTACATTGTATATTATACCTCCTGGTGTACCTTAATTAGTTTTAAAACAACATATTTTGTCAAACTAAATATGGAATTGCCAGTTATTCATATATAAACCATCACTCATGAATCATGATGAAAACTGAAAGTCTCCATAGTTAGTTTCGCAATTCAGAATTGTGGTGAGTTTGTAGGAGTGGTATCTTTATAAGAACCTAGATTGTAAACACAAGTCATTAAGCTCAATGCAACTTAAATAATTAATTATTAAGAACTATTTTATTATTGAATATCTGGAAGATAATGTTCCCAATACACTTGATTTAGCCTATAAGACTGTAATCTGTTGACTGTGACTAAACCTCTGTATGTAATGTTTGATTCCTTATTTATATTTCATGGTGTGATCTTTACAAAGACAAGTCCATTTTTAATTTTATTCTTGAGCAGGAGTCTCCATGTAATGTACATAACTTCCACTGATTTCATTTCTTATCTGTGTATAATATATTCTTCATATATCTTTACTTACTTGTCCATGTTTATTCCCACTGTATCCTGTTTCAGTAGGTAACACAGACGATTTGGTGTACTTATCACTAAATCTGAAATAACAAAACACAATTTAAAAGATTGTTCACAATAATTGTTACAATACAAAACTATGTTTTAAACTGTCTTTAAATTTTACAGGCCTATGCCTGTAAAATTACATCTAGATGTTAAAATATAAAAAATATTATATAATATATTGTTATATTTGTTCTACTTACCACTTTTCCTTATAGTAGCTTCCCGTTCCTTGATCTTGCTTTCCTTAAGACTCCTGATGACTGAACATCTCAATTGTGTAGATGCTGACAGTCTTATAGCCTCACGGTATATTTGGTTGGCCAGTTCCCTTGTGGGACAGAGCACTAGGGCTCTCGGACCGCCCTGTGGAGCTCCGAGCATGTGTAACAGAGGCATTAGGAATGCCGCTGTCTTACCAGATCCAGTCGGAGCACAGGCTACGATTTGACGATTCTAGAAAGACCATAAAATAATATTATATTAAATAATATTTTGTGATAATAAATTATTGATATATGCAGAAATAAATTTATTGATATGATTATTGAAATTTAAAATAATCTGATGGATTGTTTATATAACTATATTGTTAAATATAATTACTTTATCTTAAGGAATTAGCAGTTTTACCTGTTAAATATTTATAAAACTGACTAGTTAACTAATTGGTATGATCATTATTTTACATACATTAAATATATATTTTCATTAATAAATAATAATAGTTTTATTTACCTCCAATAAACATGGTATAGCTTGTCGTTGAATGGGTGTGGGTTCAGAGTAACCACACTGTAACAGAACTTCAACCATTGACCGAGATATATTGTATTTTGTGATCAGTTCATTGAAGTCTCTCAATGCATTAGGTATGTGACGACCAACTGCTTTTATTCCATGCTCATTACGGAAATGGTTTTGCTGAAATATAAAATAAAATATGTTTTAAGCTATATAAAATATAGAAAAGAAGGTATAATGGGTCTAATTTCATCATTATTTTTTAGATGGTAGAGCCTAGCTGTGGTCAGTTACTACAGCTCGAACATGGGTTGGCTCGACCGGGGAAGTACCACTCTCTCACAGAAGTTCGGCGTGAAGTAGTCTTTAATGGCTGCGTTTCGTTCGATGAGTGAGAGAGCCGGTTGCCCTTTCCCTATTCCTACCCTTTCCTACCATTTCCTTATTCCCACCCCTCCCTATCCCTAAAAAACAAGGTAGGCAATGCATCCGCAACAGAAATGTTGCGAATGTCCATGGACGACCACCTTCCATCAAGTGGGCCGTCTGATTGTTTGCCACCATTCACATTAAAAAAAATAATTTTGAGTTATTTTATATACAACTGCAATTTAACTGCAATTGATCAAGTATCCAAATATACAGAGCCAAAACATAATAAATGAGAATGTAATATAATATTATATATGATTGAATCTTACCTCTTCCAGTTCCAGCTTTTTTTTCAACTCTTCAGGAGTTAATTTTGATTTCTTTTTCTTTTCCTTTCTTTTTGTCTTACCCTCATCACCTTCTATAACTTGTAGTTCAGGGTCACTGTCCTCATCTTCTGAGTCCGTCTGGGGTCCACTGAGTTCTTCATTATCTGAACCACTTTCAATCTCCTCTTTAATGTTAAGTTCCTCCTTGATATCCTCATTTTTCAAAGTTGATTTGATAGTCTCATCCTTTCAGGGTGTAAAAATAATTAAGTATTATTACATATGATTTGTAAACCAATACATATATGTTTAAATTGCGAAAGACAGATCATGTTAGATATTTTCTCATATTGTCATGGATATGTATACATTTTATAACCTATTGAAATACTCGCAAATGCTTGAAATGGCCACATTTGACAAAACCAACTAGTGCTTGAAACATATATTTGTTATAAATAATAATTATAAGCCTTTTAAACTTACATATCGTTAAGGTTGGGTCTAACGTGAAGGCATCGGTTAAAAAGCTAACAATATATTTTACAACGTAGATAATCATTGTAGGGGGTTAAGTGTACTTACTTTATTTTTTACTCCCAAGACGCGATTCTTAAAAGTCAAACCTTTTGTCAATTTCTTAAATATATCATAAGCATCCATATTTTCTTATAATCATTACGAAAACTCTAACAAGTTTAACACACGTGCTTATGTTTATATGTTGTTTAAACGTCTAAATTGTTAATCAAATGTCAATTTGAAGTTTCAATTTTGACGTTTCAGTTTTGACTGTGACAGCTGGATCGTTAAAACATTTGTCACTACTGAAATAACATCTTAAATAAAATAAATTTAAATAAAATAAAGTATATATAAAGTTAAGGATTTAGTATCTCGGTCATAGTATTTGATATATCCACATTTTTTTAAATTTTATTAATCACTCATATTAGAAGAAGGAATATAACACTTATTTTAGTATAGGATCTAACAAGAAGATAATTATCACTTTTTTCAAAATAAATGTTTCTGGAGTGCTTTTTTCAATTTTTTATAAGCATATAATGTGATAATTGATATCATCTAATTATAAATCCTTATCTTCTCTTTTTTTGCCATGACTAAAGTATTTTAAGAACTGAAATTACAGATATTGCTTAAAATAATTGATTGATCTATTTAATCTCATCAATTTAGATATACTGAGAATACTAACATATCATCATCATAATGGCTATTGAAGTTGAAATATAATCAATTGAAACCAATACTGCAACTTTTAACTTCATTTGAATAAAAAAGGATAGAGACTTAAGCAATAATCATTATTTAACTAAAAATTTTAAAGGTGTGATATAGTACTAGTTCTTGTCTTCTTAGACTTACGGACTTTATCTCACGTTAGGCGGTGTCAGCACAGTACGGCTAGGTTCTTCTTCCTTCATACTGAAGAGGTCAGGGCAATGGTTTTATCAGCAGCCGCCAGTTTGACGACAACCTTCCTTGAGAGTGTTGGTGTTGACTGGTGTACATTTGGTGTGGAAAAGGCTTTAGTTACAGCTTCTTACACATCTTCTAGTTATAAATTTTGGGTTTATAACTTGATGATCATATTTTTTAAACGCAAAACGAATGAAATTCGAATCATTGAGTTATATTTGTCGACAAGGGATGGACTTGCAAAAAAGTCCGTACTTTGGTATTAGGTACATTATTCAATGGCTGTATACGTTTTGGTAACGATTCAGAAACTGTGATCACGGGTAGACGAGACAAAAAATAGTATTATTTCTATCCATATTCAAGAAAGTCTTAGATCTCATAAAATTTAAATTTTCTTAAAGAAAATAATTATGACTATGCAGCGTCGCTTAGTTTATATTTTAAGTCATTTCGTAATACAGCAGATAAAATATATACCTAAATAAAATGGTGCAATACATAATATAATTTTAACTAAAATCTGAAATCTCAGTCACTCGGTAAGAACGAATGATTATTTGGGTTCGTACAATTAACATATATTGTAATATTCTCCATTGTTGTATAAGAGGAATTATTAATCCTAATAATTTAAAAAACACTCTGGAGTTCTCTAAATTTAATTTAATTATATATTTTTGAACTTTCTTATCACCTATTAAAATGTTTATAAGTGAATAATTTCTACGTTGAGTGTGCGAAGTGATCTTGCTTGGCGTCAGTTCAGCTTATGACTTACTTAAAAACACACGCAAGCAAGAATAATATAAATACTTATCTACAGGAATGGATCCAGGGGAAAATAAAAATACGAATCGTCAATGGAATCACTGCGAGTTTATTAAATTTACGCTTTCATTACATCCAACTGTTTAATTCATGACAATTCAAAAACTCAGATTTCGACACATAAAGTACTGTTTATTACAACTCAATGAAAGTAAATCTGATAGCAGTCAGACTCAGTTACTCAGAGCACTGGTTGTCCGACCTTGATATGTTCCTGCGCAGACCCACTGATTCCTTCATGACATATATCAACAACATCAAAACAAGTAAAGACATCACCTCCAAAGACACAGAAATCATGAGATACAGACCGAACACGGGGCAAATGAACAATGAATCAACATTCAAAACATATTACGAAAAGATTAGACGAAAAACAAACTTTACACTGCTGGCACAGACCCAATATCATACCGTATATACATTTTTTTAAAGTAAGCAACCTTCTTTTAATTACCTACTTAAAATTTATCCACAAATAAATGTAATTAGAATGTTTTTCTATGATTTGTGTGTCTTTTACAAACCCTTCATTAAAGTCATAATACTCGAATAGTTCATACAATAGTACTTTAAGTGTCTTGAGGATGTTCCGACTTACAACAACTTTCAAAGAGGACCTAAGTGTCTAAAGGGCCGCTTACTGTCCCTCAACTATTACCTTATCGAGCGATACACAGTACTATGAAACAATTTTGTACATCCCATTCCCTCCGATCTTTACAAACTTTTAACAAAACTCACCGACTTATAAAACGTCGCCCTACACTTCGATCAACGATGGCAAACTAATAACTTTAAAAATATCAACACAATATTAGTTGAAGCATATCACATGCGGAGCGACGCACGCGAACAGTAAAAATAAAATAAATTAATAAAATGTGTATATCTTTAAGATGAATCGAGGGTACGTATCACTTAACGCGAAAAATCTTACAAGAGACAAAAAAAAACTCCGATTCTAATAAAAACGCAGATCGTGCATACATTAAATTACGAAAAAAAAAGAAAATCTAAACCTAGACGTGTCAGCAAAAATATAGTGCAGTTAAAATTAGAATTGCCACTTAATTAACATTGACATATAAATTGATTTTCTTAAAAAAATATTTCTGTGTATAAAATGTGTCACCCAAGCATAACAAGTAACGGCCGCGGAATTCTGCTGAGAGATCGATCGGGCAGACGCGATAACAATCAATATTATACTGTTACATTAAACAAACGAATAAATAGAGGAATATTGGAATAGATGAACGCCGCGGCGACACCACATACAAAAGTATACGACCGACGCCGCGGCGCGGAACTAGTGTAGTAGAGGGAGCGAGAGACTGACCAACCGATGTTTCAGAAAAATTAGGCGACCGTTTGACTTTCATCTGTAGATAAAAAGTTACTATCAATATATTGTATGTCATAAGTGGGTAATGTATATTGTAAATACTTCTCATATAGCTACTGCAGACGGGCTATCAACGAGTTTCGCTCGCCAGGGGACGGCGGGGGCATCTGAACTACACATTATAATATAATACTTCTTACTTTTATATAAAGACGTAAGTGCACTTTGAGTTATGGAACTATGATTGTAAACTAGGCAGTAGGGACCTGATGAACGGCGGGCGCGAGGTGGCGGCCGCGCCCTCCAAGGACTACTTACCTAATTATTATTATATATGTTATATAACCTCCGCTCTAATAAGATCGCTATAGGAACAGATTTGCAAAGTAGGTTTATGAGGATACACGGAGGACGCACACGAGGCTCGGACGCCAAGCTGCGAGAGTCACACTCGGGACTCAATACACAGCATGGACGCCGGTAACTCGCCACGTTTGCAATATAATCTGCTATAGACAACTTCTCTTAGATAAGCTATATATGTGTATAATTACTGAGGTACAATGGCAGATTGGGAACTATTGCTATAATAATTAGATTAAAGTGGAAGATACTGTATATATTAAAGCTATCGGCTTAAGAATACAACGACTTAGTTTACAGAGCTACAGCACGCGACCACAGACGGACGCACCCACGACCTGTGTACCGAGTTCAAAACTAACAACGAGCAAACGGCTCGGTTTGCTCTCGAAAAATCTGTATAAAAATAACTGGAATATAAAGTATTGTCCAAAGAAAACAAGTTACACAGTCGCCAGTGACTCGAGCCTGAGTCGGTGAGAATATATCCTAAGCTATGTTAGATAAGAGTCGATCTATTCTCAAAAAACGTCGTCGCGTCCCCCGTCGAGCGAAATTAAATTATTTTAAATAATTAACTATTGTGATCTGGTTCCCGCGTGTGGTCGCGCCCGGCCCTCCCCGCGCACGACCACGCGCGGGTCATAAACTATTGCATTTTAAAATGGATACGGATAACAAAAATAATGTATGTATGGAAATAACTATGTAACAAGTGTTAAAGTTTAGTTTGACAATATCTATAATTACTGTATTTATAAATATAAAATCACGTTTCATTGACTTGTCCTGGTTGAACAACATAAACACAAGTCTGGCCCCTGCACCGCTACTTGTTCCGAACACCACTTCTGTTTCTGTAACACCTACTCTAGAGTACTCTCTACGCGTATACAATCGTTCGTTATCAATATATTATGTGTCTGTTGCGAGTTTAACAAATGCCGAGTAAAGGTAGGCGGCGGCTTGTATACCCATTACTGTGAGAAGCATTCATTTGTCCCAAGTAGTGATCCACGGACAGATTCCGGCTACATCGATATTAAAAATTAATGATTTATAGAAGATAATACTTAACATTATTGGAGGTAATACTTACATTAAAGAAGCAAGATTTATTTTGTGAATACGTTTTGTGAACATGTATGAACCCCGTAAGTTATATACTTAGCATTTACATTAAGACTTGCCCATCACCAGCAAACGCTGCTATGTAGTACCTAATGGCAGTAAATAACTGGACAGGATTTGGCAAAACAAAAAAATAATAATTTTTATGACAATATGTAAATAACAACTTTAAACTCGTAGCTATATTCTGATATATGTTCAACTGTATACTAACGACGCCACTGAGACACAGTTCGCGCCATTTTATGAACAAACTGTAATTAATTCACCTTACATTTACTTATTGTAGGCTATTGTTAATAGTTGTACTGTTACGAAGGCATTCCGTTGTTGATTATTTTGTGCATTATCCTTAGTAACACAGTCTGGTTATTAAATGTATTAATTAGTTAACTTAAAATAAATTATCCGACGACCAAGCGAAATGATTAACACGCGCCCATTAATCGAGACGATCAAATAATTTATAAAAAAACGTTTCTCACTTATCTTCTTATGATTTAAACAAAAAAAAAAAATGCAGTATTTTGGTATACATTGCAAAATAATATGTTTTGACTTGTTTCGCTGTAACCTTCTGTTATTTGAGCTGTTGTCTGTGTTCCGTTATTTTTGAATTTTCAAAGCTGCGATGTATTTTCGTTATATTTTTTTGCCGACACACTAAACTTAACTCGTAAACGACCTATGCCTAATAACAATCACCAACGGCTGTCTCCGGATGTCGATGTAGTTCGCAGCTATCTACTGAGATCAAGAATTTAGAAAATACGTAATAGATTGGTGGGAAAACAATCCGAAATAAGATATTAACAAAGCAGTCAACAACAAGCTTCAGACGGCCGAACCGGTCAAATGATTGCACAGCGAAAACATTAAACACAAACACTAAACGAAAAAAACCGTTATAGAAAGACTAAGTCTAAGTTTCACTATTCATAAATCCATTAGTAGAATATATATAAAAATCCTTTCCATTAATGATTTTATCTATTTACTATTTAGTTAATATCACGAGGCGTTATTCCCAAATGATGCCACGATACTTCCCTTACGTACTCTTACTAGACGCTAACTTATAACATATTTACACTTTACGATTCAAACTACCCGCTTCTTTTACTTCCTAAGCTCCCTAAGACGATGCTGTGACGCTTCCGAACCGATACCATTCCTTCGCTTTAACATTAAAATAAAAATTAATATATATAATATAAAAACAATTGGTGAGGTAATTATTGACGTGGAGGTACGCGCGTTATACCGGGGGCCACGCGTTCGACTTAATGCTTCGAATATCAGAAAATCATTTGTTTAACAAATTAATTTATACTGAATATAAAAAACTTATTAAAAATATATTTGGAATTGTACCAAATAACATTACATTAAAACTCATATCACAAACGTACCAAAATGTAACAATCCCAAAAATGAAAATAATTAAAATCACTATATATTATAAAAAGTTTATCCTAACATTGGAAAAATAAATGCACAAAAATAATAATAATAATATTGTTAAAAACTTTAAACTAATATGATATTTAATAAATTGCATTGCAATAAGTAGCGCGGATAATGTTGCATTGTGTTCAAAACTGTATATGACAACTTGTTAGAATTATTTTCAATATAATTTCAATGAGATATGGCACAGTACAATTTAGTCAACATATATATTATATATTCGATCGGTATGTTTTCATTATATAAGATATGAATGCGTATTGGCAAAATTATCCCCTTTGTTTTCTTTGGCTTGTGAAATATCACGGCGTAAAATACTTAGAGTCCTGTCTCTATTTCTCATAGATATGTGTGATATGTTTGTTGGGTTAAACCTATTGATTAATGCAGATTTATCTTTTATTAATATGATATCAAAAAAAATTCGTCACTTACACCCTGGAAAGATATGTATATCTCAATTTTTTTAGCCGAATGCGGTACCCAAGCAATTACCTATAATATAAGTAAATAATATATTTTTACATCTGCAGCCATCTTATGGTTGATCCTAAGACTTTAAGAATTTTGAGAATATAATAATAATAATAATAATAATCTAATAAATTTTCATTAACGAGACGTCCGCTACGTTGGTCGACATTAAATTAGAAACCACTATACACTCATAGAGAGAAATCCGAAAATGTATACAGATTAAATATAATTACGTTAATGAATACCTAGCAGCTACATCATTTATACAGACGAAACGACTCCTATGTCCCATGATTTGAAATCATGCACGTATACGATCGTCGCACATATTACCGCTCGCCGAAGACCTGCGCGCGAACCAGCCTGCGCTTCACGACCTCCCTCAACCCTGTATCAAGGATCTGCCAGGTGGCGACTCGCCCTACTCTCCCTTCCCTTCCCTTCCCTTCCCTTCACCGGTACAATCCGTTCGCCAACTTGTCGCCCATACTTTGTCAGTTCGGAATTTCTCAAACCATAGAGACGAACGAAGGCACGGCTACTTATACATTGATCAAAATGTTAATATTGAAGCCAAAACGCACATAGAATACACATAATTTTGTTCAATAAGACGTTTAACATTTTTGTACTTTCAAAATCAGATTCTAAGTAGTCTTTTATTTTATTAATCAACATCAACATTTTTTTTTTATTATTTTTCGTTTATCTAAAAATTTTTTTTTAAGTTATTAACTCCTAAATAATCTGTATTTAAATTTAGATTTGGCGATCCGAAAAAAGTTTCTTTAAAAAATATTTTCTTTCAATATTTAATAATAACTGTTTAAAATTTGTACGTTTTCTTTTGTACAGTTACCGAATCTAATTTGACACTAGACATTTATCGAAAATTGTCAATAAAAATGTTATATTCTCTTTAAAATACAGTTGGCATTATTTTGGCAGTACTAGATACATTAATAGTTTAGTATTGCTCTGATTACATTGTCATATTGAACACTGTCTGCCATTTAACTAGGACCTCGCAACCTTCTCGTGGTGAGCACGAAGCAGAGTCCGATCTTCGAAGCGTAACACTAAACGACTTCTAAGTCGCGTGCATCAATACTGTTCATTTTTTAAAACTAACGTCAATATTTAACTACCATTATAATACACAATTTACCATTAAAAAATGCGGCAGAGTCCTGCATAGTTTTGGCATTGTCCGTATATTGCACACGTATGCTATATCCCTATAGTGTCCTAGTCCATCGCCGATATTTCAAATAGGTCCGGCGCTGGGGGCGGCGGACGTATTTGAAATAAGGAGTGCGTGTCGAGCGAGTGCGGTTCAGGCCATCGTCTGTGGTCATTGGAGGCCGGGCGGCAGCTGCGGGCCGCGGTCGGCGCCCAGGTCGAACAGGTGGTGCGGCGCCGGCGCCAGCGCGCTGTGCAGCGCGGACGTCTTCAGCAGCCGCTTCAGCATGCCGCTGGAGCCCCTGTGCTGGAGGCTCTTGTGCGTGGTCAGCGAGTTCTTGGTCCGGTACCTCCGGTGACAGAACTCACACACGTACAGCGTGTCCGACTGCTCGTGCTTGTCTTGGAAGTGTCGTTTCAGGGAATAGTAACAAGAGAATGTCCTGCGGCAATAGGGACATTCCTGGGGCTCGTTGATACCGCCGGCTGTCGGCGGGGGCATACGGAGGGGCGGAACAGCTGCAAATTAAAATAGCATCGTACATTCGTCATCACCGTGAGGTTTTAGTGACGTCTTGGTTATTTCCATTAGCTAGCTGGCAATATTAATTGAAACAGCCCATGAAAATAAAGTATCAAACGCAATTGTGTTATGTTGTATAGCATTTACATAGGTTTCATGTATGAGGTATTAAAAATTAATAATAATACTAATAATACGCACTGTACACATCGACTAACTACACAGTAATCAAGAGTTGTATATATCAATAAAATTTAGGAAATTCTTTCAACCACAATGACACAGAAACACGTGATAACAAAAATGATAGAAGCATGCTCCAAGCAACACAACAACGTCCAAACTGCTAAACCCGCTGGGAGGGGGTCTGTCGGGGTTTAAATTAGAAATAAACAAAATAATAATATAAAAAAACAACGTAATCTAACTGAACTAAAATATAAAAGGACCCTTAAACCTATGTCTATCAGATATGAGACAGAGTATGTTATTAATGAGTCAGCGGTCAGTTAGCCCTAGCTTCTATAAACTGATGCTAACCTTTGTGACTGATGTTAAGTACGGCTGTTGGATGATTGGCCTCGTGGAGGTTTTCTTTGCTAGATGAATGCCGCACGCCGCGCCAACTCCGTCCAAGTAGTCACTAAAAAAACCGGATTTGATCCGTCTCCCCGGGCCTGGACTTGTGGTAGGTGTATATGTGGGTCATGAGGGAGTTCCTCGAGCAGTACACTCGCTCGCAAACGGTGCATCGGTACTCCTCCTGCCTCTCGGCGTGCTTGTCAGCGATATGCCGTTTCAAAGATGCCTTTGAGCACAATACTTTCGCGCATAGATTGCAGGAGAATAATTTTTTACCTGGAAACAAATTGAAAAAACAAAACAAATATGGGGTTGCTCCCCGAACCCGATAAAATAAAATAACTTTACAACCTAGCTGTTATTTGTTGGCTAAATTGTGTCGTTTTTTTTTTTGTTGTTCGTGAACTAAAATATTGGAAAACAAAATATAAAAAGGAGTGAAAAAAGTGATTGAAATTAGTAAAATAAAATGTAAATTAAAAAGAAAATAAATATAAATGATTGCGAAGCTACAAAGGCAAATGAATTGTTAGAACACACACATGCAAATGGCGGGAGTAGCGTCAAAATAAAACTATGCACTAGCTACGTCTTAGGAACTAAACCGCTGTACTGTCTGTGTGTGAGGATGAAATAAAACTAACGGCAGGTTTTTGTATATTTGTTTTTTATTAAAAACGCCATTATCATCAATATTAGGATTTATGAAGTCCGGTTTAACGATTACATTTACACTTTATGAGTAATATGTCAAGGTTTAATTTAAAAGTAAGAAAATAACTATCTGTAAATATAAAGTGACATGAATTATTAATAAACTTAAGGATACAAACTATGGATTGGTGCAGCCCATACAGGCGGTGGTACAGATATTATAACGCCCTAACCAAATATAGCCTTTGTTTGGAAGACGAACTTAAAATTATAATTTTTGGCACCATTCTCCAATAGCCAAGTGATGGGCCGCATTGCATAGATGCCGATTACAAACAAAACAAGATTCAAGGAGTAGAATAATAATTTAAGAAGAAAAAAATAATAAAATTTCAATACAACAACCAATAAATTAATTTAGATTCCTTATAAAATAAGTAAAAATGCCAACAAGAAGTATAAGAACACATCAAATAAGGTCGCCACGGTACAACGTGCGGTAAGAGAACATATCTTAACATGTTAGAAAGATACAAAAAAAAAAAACTCTAAAACAGGTCACAGAAACAGTCTTAAACTTGCTAAGGTCCTAACTAATGTAGTTTTCGACAGGGATGTGTTCTGCTCCTTAGAACACTGTGTAGTTTCGCCCTTGAACCCACAGACCTTTAAGATCCTCTGAGATCCCAATACTTAGCGGCTACCAACATAAATATATAAAAGATCCTCGAATCACGATAATTTTTTGATTGATACCGAACCGAAACGAATCACGCTTCTGACTTTCATTTGTTTTTTTTTTTTATAAAATTATCAATTTAGTAAATAATTGTACATTTAATTCTAGATAATACGCCTAATAGTGTACAATTGAAACGCGTACTTAGTCTAATCAGTCTATAGCGCTTATTAATTTTGGCATAATTTTTGAATAATAATTTCTCTAAATAAAATCCACAAGATCTTTAGTCTCGTGTACTCCGCGATAGTCGAAGTATTACTGCCGTACTTAGCAGCACATCCCTGTAATCGTAAATTAAACATGTATATACTATTATCTCTACGAATTCAGATAAATCTTACAGCTAGGTAGTCGACTAACTTAGTTCCCAAACCCAAATTAACAATAAAAACCTAACGCTAAGTTACTACACAAAAAACAACAATCCTACGACTTAAGTTCAAAAACTTGCAATTGGTTGCAAAAAAAATAAAACTTAACATTTTCGTTTCCATCAACCACGGAATGTTGCGAATTTTCAATGAATTTAAAATTTCATTAATTCCATTTCCCTTAAATTTTTCTATCGTGAACATCGTTCCAATTTAGCACCAAATCTCTAGTCTTCCAATTAGTTAAAAGTATCGTAATAAAGCTTAAACAACTAAACAAATTGTAATGGCTAAGCGTTTATGCATTTATTAATAACAACATAATATTATAACGTATACTATTACATTTACTTAGGAAGCCTCTCAACTTTTTAAAGTAGCGTTTACCTTAAAGGTGAAGTGTTACGAACATTACCTACTATGTTTTAGAAGTTAATCAAAATATGTCTTTTTTTTTCGAATAAAAACAATTATGTAAAGCAGGCACTAATAATTACTTACGTGTATATTGTTACAATAAATTATGTGTTTACATTTACACTTACACAAGGTTCTCTTATTGCTATCGAAACGAATATAACATTGTGGCGACGGGTATCGCTGAAAATAGTGATGTTTATTTAACTAGAAAAAGTACATCGACATCAAAAATGTATAGGACACGATGTCTAGATCCAGAAAACGAAAGCAATTTATACGTAACTAGTACATTTAGTGGCCATCTAGAGTTAAAAGCCAGTTCTATTGAATAACATCTATTGAGAAAACGAATCGACACACTACAGTCGCTACAAATAGTTCTTGACTAATATATGTATGTATATCATTACTGGGGGAGGAAGTCGACGACCCGAACAGCTTCTGAATCTAGACAGTGATACAAAATCTAAGAAATAGTCGCCTAAAGAAAAACATTCAGCGTTTATGACTATGTATGGCAAGCAGATAATTTAATAACAAAAAACAAAAATTCACACTGTTGAAATTTAGGAACATTTAACACTGAGAATTATTAAGATTTATTATTTACCTATTAAGTATTCAGTTATATTAAACGCTTAATTAGTTCACTAAAACTGTGGTGGAAAAAATGTTTAAAAAATATAGACAGCCGTCAAGTATAAACGACGGAAAAATTAACAAAACGAGAAACGAACACAGGGTATGATGTAGAACTAGAAGTGACTAAACTAAATATATTCTATAGCCATCCTGAAACGAGTACATGGCACCTCGCGAAACGTAACGACTCAAATATATATGACGAAAAGTAAACAGTAAATGGATAGTCGACTAGGTAGAGTAAATAAAGTAATCGTAGTCGACGGTAGAGTAAGTGATGTGTTGTAGTCGGTTCTGTGAGTGTTCTGTGTTGTGCATCTGTGTGTGTTTGTCTTATTGTTACTGTTAGTGATTGTGAAACCTGTTGTTGTATGTCTGTATGACAGTGCGGACTGTTGTTAGCTCGTGTTGCCAGTTGTCGGTCTATTGGTGCTATGTGTTCTTTCTTTCAGTCTTACAGTCAAAAAAACAAAAAAAAAACATCTAAATAAAATAATAAATTTGAAGCCTCATTAGCCAATTATATATTTGTGTATATAATTTTATTTAGTTTTAAATAGATTTTTAGTAATCTCGTATAAATATCTAAGTGTGAGATCATGAAGGTAAAAGTACAGAATAAATAAAAAAAAAATTGCAAAACGCCGAAAAATGAACACAACGTTGAAAACAATATGCCTCTCTTGTTACTTACAACGAACACTGTTCCATTTTATAAATTTAAGCCTAATATATAAATTTACAGCACCAAGATTTTTCTTTTTTTCTCAAAATATTTTTCTCTTCGCCTTATTGTCACACATTTAACATAGTGTAAAATTCAGGAATCTTCATACCGCAGTATTGCACTTAGCGGGCGCATGTTTATGTAATTTATCTAAGAACATTATAAAAGATAAAACGAAAAGTCACCCTCCCTTCCCTGGTCATAGTGGAATGTCATTCGTCAAAAGGTCTGATAATATATAGGACCGTGTTCAGTGAGTGAGGGCCGCCGCCGAGCACAACATCGCCCGACAAGTTAAAAGAGGAAATTAATGTAAATAAAATCAATCGCGACACTAAAATGTCAATAATCTCTCCGAGAGATAAAAAATATAAATCATCTACTATAAGATAGAGCGGAGCTAGGGCAGCTAGGGAGCTGGGGGGAGCTGGGGGGAGCTGGGGGGAGAGGAACAGCTTAGACGTTGAACTGGTCCTTGAACTTGTAGAAGTCGATGGTGTGCGGCGGCGGAGTCAGCTTGGCGTCTACGCCGGTGGAGAGGTTCTGCGGCTGAGCCTGCGGGGCCAGCGGGGCGTGCGGGGCGTGCGGCGCGAGGGGGGCCAGCGCCGCGTGAGGAGGGGGCGCGGCCTGGGACGCGTGCTGGGGCAGCCCGCGCTGGCGCCGGTGGTAGATGCTCTTGTGGTTGTTGAGCGAGTTGAGCGTGCGGAACACCTTGTGGCAGAGGCTGCAGCGCGCCGAATGCAGCGGCTGCAGGTGCTGCTGTTCCGTGTGCCGCTTGAGAGTGAGCCGCGTGGACAGCAACTTGCCGCACACCTCGCATCGGTGGCCCGCGCCCAGAGGGCCCACTGCACCACACATAACAACCAACATTAGCGCATTAGTCAACAAAGACACCCCTCACCCCAGGGAGTAGGGCACACCAACACCACAGCGACCGCTCGCATCCAACGGGTCCCATTTCGAAGGAACCAATTGGCACAATTCAGTGCCGCCAAATTTTTGTCGGGTGGCAATTTTGTGAACCTGGGTTGTAGAGGCAATTCAACGTGATCTCTTTTAACAAAATTTGACTAATGCGCTTTTTTGTAAAATAGCGTTGGTGGTTATGCGTGTACCGATCATAGATGTTCCAATTGGTTCCAGAAGGGCGAGCTCGTGTAAGCGTTCCGTCTCGCGCCTCGGACCCGGGGCCCGAGGACGAGCGGCGACGGCGCACGCTTACACGCAAGCATACATTTTAGTGACAATATTTTATAGATACATAATAATTATAATAGAGTCTGGCGATGCGCATGCAAAAGTACACGTAAAACTATGCTATGTACAAATGTTAGGAACATATCGCGTTACATTTTCATTAAACTTAACAAAGGTCTACGGGCAAGACTATGGCTATTTATTAGGTGGTCGGGATGGCAGCTTTGATTCTTCGAATGGCAACGTGTATGGCAACTGGTTCCTCGTGCGTCAATTGACGGGGTAGAAGGAGCCCTGGCCGGCGGAGGGCGGTTGCTGCTTGCGGTGGTAGATCGACTTGTGGTTTCTCAAACTATTCAGGCTGGAGTATACCCGTCGGCAAATGTTACACACGGGCTCCCTCGAGGGGCGCATGTGAACGTTTTGGATATGTCGTTTTGAGCCGCGTCAGGGAGGACAAGCTCTTGTTACAGGGCTCGCATCGGTACTCTTCCTGGGGGGTGCGGGCGCCACCTGGTCACAACACAAGCAGTTAGCCCCATCGAAGCTTCCGAACGCACTTTTAATGCACTCACTATCGTAGCCTCTCGTTTTATTTCAAGCACCGCCACCCCCCTTTACAGTTTCATGACAACCATCCGTATCGTCGACAGGCATTGCCAAGCGGTATTAGTAACGAACTGTTTCCTAACTTTACCTACGCCTTAGTTAAGCTGAGCGATGATTGTATGAAAAATAAGTCGGCTGTTTTCATAACAACTTGTGGGACGCTATCGACGTATACAGTTTCAAATTTCTCGAACAAAAGCGTTAGTATTCCTCAATGACTTATATATTTTTTAAATAATCTGATACGCAATCGTAACTAAAAATTCCATTGTCCAATCTCTTGCTTCCCCGACGTTATAATTCTCAAGACAATAATGATTAAGGGTAACGCGAGACTGTTTTTAGAAACATCAATGATTCATGAGATCTTTTTATTCCGAAAGTAAATAACAGATCGGGTCGGTTCCAGATTAACATAGTCTTGAATTTGTCGGAACTTAAAATCTGATAATCTTCTTTTATAATTTCTTCATTGGACCGGTATTTTTTTTATTTAAGACAACTGTATGTTTGTTTGTTTTTTTGCATTTCGACGCTCCCGGATTAGGAATAATTGAATTTTTAAAATAAAAACAACAAAGAATCGTCGAATTTAAAATAAAAAATGAAATAAAATAGGATAATTTGGAGGTGGGTTTTCCTAGCGTACTGATCAAGACACATCTATAAAACAAGCTAGCAATGTTCATCATAGTAAACATTAAGTCTAATAACAATACAGTATACAGTAACATGCACGCCACGTTGAGTTATGGTTCAATGATCAATTCTCATTTTCACAGAACTGTTCTGTGTCTACTCGTACAGTCTACGGGCCGACGAATGAAAACGGACAAAACACACGAGAGGCCATCGAACCATAACACAAAAAGCTAACATTAATATTTATACAAACACAGAGCACATAATGAAGATATATATATATGTATACAGGTTAGGAGTAGATATAATAATGTATATATATAATAATAATAAATACATTATATAATATATCACGTGATAATTGCCTCATACATTTTTTTTAATAATATAAATCCTAATTATGAGAGAGCAGAGAGGAAGCGGTGATGGTGGCATACGACAGACAGTGCATTAAAAATATCGTTTGTTTCAATATATTATGAAGGTATGCATTAAATAAACTTGTTGCTAGACAAGCCGCGACTCACCTTGAGACGTGCTCGCCATGCCGTCGGGGGCCAGCGGGCTCGGCAGACCTGCAACGAGCGGACGGCTCTTAGTGAGACCCACAGACACTACGACCCTAGCAGTACTTCACGACCACACAACTATATACATATCATCATACGTCACGACACAAACAGACCAGAGAAACGTCTTACCGGCCAGCGCGGAGGGGTCCGTGAGCGCCATGCTGTAGTTGTAGTTGTGAGCCGGGAACAGCTTGGTGTCTGCCGGGGAGATGAACGATGACGGAGGCAGCTGGGGCGGAGGAGTGCGGTCATCGGCCTCCGCGGAGCTGGCGCGGGAGGGAGGCCCTCCACCCTGGTGACCCAACATACAGGACATTAACACACACACCCTATGGGCTATGACGAATAAAAAACATTCTATTGGCAGCCCTACTCTATAAAACAGCTTTATATAATATTTTCGTCATTCTCCCAAATATTTTGACAAACTAAGTAAAAACTTTTAAAAGTACGTCACAAGTAGCTCGACAGTAATGTAATAAACTACGAAGTCAAAACGCCAATATAACTTTGTAATAACGAATCTCTTATCTTTTTGAATAAAAGTATCTTTAATAGACTGATGATGAACTATAATTACTTCTGACTAAGTTGTCTTCGACTCGCTGTATCAATATGGTTGTAGTATATATACTCCGGTTCAAATGTACGAGTTTAAACCGCTAGTTAGTAATAACCGAATATAATGTTTACGCATAGTTGATATCGCTTCAACATAAGTAGTAAGTGTCGTGGTGACGCGAGCCTCGTTTATCATGACACACGACCGGCCCCGTTCCTGGTATATATTCGAATCTAATACTCAGTAAAAGTCATCAGGATGTGTTTGTTTAACGGATTCTGTTACACTAATACTACTATTCTAAATTTTATAGCTTTTATTAATTCAATAGAGTTACAGACGCTCCGTGAGGTAGTTTTAAATAAAGTTGGTTTCATGGTAGATTATGTTGTAGTGTAGGAGTGGGTTATGTCCTGTTCTAAACGGATGATGTTTACCAACTCACAAGTGGTCTGTGATGGTGCGGCGGCGTGTCGTCCGTGCTCCTGTCTATGTCGGGGTTGGAGGGGCAGATCATGTCCAGCGGTTCGTTCTTGACTTCGTCCATCAGGCGCGGGGAGGGCGACGAGCTCGAGTTGGAGATGCCGTTCCCGTTTCCTTGTTCGTTGTGTGCGCGCGTGTTGTTCATCGAGTGGTTCTTGGTCGAGAAGTCGTGGACCTGGGCCTGGTCGTTGTTGTTGTCGTGGCGGGCGCGCTTGATGACGTCAGGAGAGTTGTCGGCGGAGCGGGAGATGCGGCGCGGGGGGAGGGAGATACGACGCATCGTCGGGTGTAGTAGAGCTTCCTCCAGCTTCTCGGAGTAGCTGGGGGTGTGAGGGTTCTGAGGGGTGTGTGCGGGGTGAGGGGGCGTGTGCGGGGAAGAGGCTGCCGCGGCGGCTGCGCGAGCGATGCTCTGTACTAGCGGCTGTGGACAAATCATTATATAAGTGGTCAGATGTCGTCGCGCGAACAAGTTTCAATAAAATTTGCTACAAATTTATTTTTTTTTCTTCTGTATAACTGTATAATATATATAATGTATGTGTTTAGCAAAAAAAAAAATAAATAAAAAAATAACGACATAATATTTTGAATGCGAACGCGATTTATCAAACTACTCATTAGCATTTACAAAAAACAGATTCGACTACTAAAACTGAACGGAGTTCTCCAAATTAAGTATGAAATTATCACATTTATAAGATTTTGAAGATAAAATGAATTTAGATTTACAAAATATCCTTAAATCTATTCATGTCATACAAACCTTATGTAAGGATAACGTCTCAAAATATCTTCATCACTTATTTAAACTTCTGTAAATTCTTTAAACCAACTACTACTCGTAGTATAGTGAACTCACCCCCTGTGCGTCATCATTCTGTGTGAGTCCGGAGACCCGAAGCACCTCGGCTGTCTTGAGGAAGGAGGACAGGCTCCGTTGGTGCACGTTCACCTCGCCGTGGTAGATGAACTCCACGAGCGCGTGCAGGTCCGTGAAGGCCACGTCTTGCAGCACGATCACTGGGTGCTTGCATGGTGTCGACTGGTAACAAGCATTACCAACGTCATTACTCATTGTAAATGATTATACGTTATTTACTACACGGCTATATCAAAAGAATTATATACGATATTAAGAAGTATATATTATATTTACATTGTTAATACAAACCATGTAATAGGTAATGTTTTTTTTAATTTTTAAGTCATAATGATTGTATTGTCAAGTAAGTATTAACTAATGTTCATATTGAACAAGTAAGTCGTCAAGTCAGGTTGGCCGAGTGGTCTAAGGCGCCAGATTTAAGCTCTGGTTCCCGAGAGGGAGCGTGGGTTCGAACCCCACACCTGACAAATGTTTTTTTTATATTTTCTCTTCACATGCCATTGTTTTATTTTTGTCCCGTTAGTTTTCCGTGAATCTTTTGAGTGTTTCGTGCCATGAGTCAGGTACGGTAAAGTTATGAAATGCTGACTCCGACATATGATTGTTTTCAAATCGGAACATGAATGAATATTCTCAGGAGAGCTATTTAATTAATATGAATTCGTATTGTTTATTGTCGTATATGTAACGTATGCAATTAAAATATGCATTCGATACGTTTCGAACAAAACAACAGAACTAACCACGATATTTTTTTTATGAATTTCGCGAGACAGTGGATTTATTTTCATATAAATTAATAACAAAATAAAAAAATATCTTAAAAAAAAGAAACAAAGAATATAAATTAAATTATCCATCGAATCGTTGGAGTTGATGTTCGTTGTATCTTAAGACGTCCCAGCTACAGCACTTTTTTAAAACAATTTTTACTTATTTAAACCACGAAGAATAATGCTTGTGAAATATAAGACGCGTAAGAAGAGAACTAGTATTTGATAACAGATAACTATTGAACTGAAATTTATAATTACTATTACGACATCTAATTAGTATAATAATTAAAATTGTTATTACCTTTAATAGTTCTCTAAAGTAAGGGCTGCAGGCCGACAGGACGACCCTGTGTGCTTTGAGACTCTTCCCGTCACAGGCCAGGGTGACGTCCACGAAGTCTTCGTCATCCCGAAGGTTCTCGAAGGCGCTGGTGATGCTGCTCTGGTAATTGTTCCACCGCAGACAGAAGTGCTGTGTATCGACCATGTTGAATGTGTTGCTTTCAAGATTTTCGAAACATGTGTTCGTATCTGGAAGTAGAATCACCATCAGCACCTCACTTATATAATATTAACACAATTTTAAAGTATATTTTTTTATTATATTTCGCTAAGCCCGGCGTGTACCTACGCTATATGTACAAGTGTAGTATCATTAGTTGTCTTCGGATGCGTTTGCGCAGCTGTACACTTTATAGATGTTATGAATCTTTAAATAGAAAGTGCATTGATAGTTATAATTGTGCAAAAAATGGGCCACAAGCGCAATAATTAAGACATGTCACAAACAACAGATAGTCTCTCTTATATTCTTATCAGGTGACCCGTTTTCTCCGATCATTATTTTTATTTGTTTCAACTTCGATCTATTCTTCGTTGTTTTTTTTCATATAACGCATGATTTTCACGTTCCTCGTGCGTATTCTTAAAACAAAGCCATTTCGTATAAAGTGAACACTTAATTTTTGGCCAGCCATTCTCTATGGTTTCTCTTAAAAAATATATTTCCCCAAAATTAAGCCAAACAATGCGTTTCAGCCATTTAAATACACCATTGTTATAATATGGCTTTGTAATTAAGAACTTAAGTTTTGGGGACAAATGAAAGAAAGTTTAGAATATCATTGTAGTATTAAAACATTGTATTGTTCTTAATTAAACTTTGCAAGTAAATAACTCTTGTATATAACGAAACCTGAATAAATACAATGTTTAACTCTTGATATAATAAACAAAACAATCTATGTGGAAACATAAATGTATGGAATTTCCGTACTTAAATATTTTGTTTTAGTAGACTCAGAACTGTTATCAATTAGTTATTACTTTTGTTTCCCATTTATATGTATTAATTAAGAGAGGTTCAATGAAGCATCAAGGCAGAAACTATCACATTTTATTTATTTGTAAATGTGAAATCATACAAAATTATAAGTTCTGAGAATATTTAAAGTTGACCAAGTCTCTATGAAGCCCTGTGAAAGCAATTTCTGTTTTATTATTTATTTAACCGTTTTTAATTTTTTATATCCTATGATATTGTTTAAAGAACGTAAAATTCGCGGTAGACTAGTAACACTATTACCTACAAATGATACTCACAACTGTTACGTAATATAACAAGCAACACATAATGAACCTTATGTGATGGTGATAAGGGCACATGAAAAAACGGTTTTTCAAAGTTTTTAAACAATCTTAGACAATAAGCAGTGGCATAGCTGTAACAATGATGATCGGGTTACTGGCATGCGAACCACATGCGGGGACTTCGACTCAGAAACAGACTCTGATGCTGCAGCAAACAGTTCTTTGTTAAAAATACTTCGGATATAATCATCAGAAAATATTTATTATCAGATGAGAGGAATCATATTAATTTTAGAGTAACTGTCTTGGATCCCTGTAGATCTGAGTAACGTCCAAATAATAAGTCAACCCCAACACGTTTATACGAGTAGTGTCAAAAGATATATACATAAACGACATTCAAGTTCCCCAATACGCTACAAATGTGGCCATTTGTAATTTCCTCGACAAGAAGGCACGCTGCAAACCTCCATAAAGACACACTCCCTTATAAAATGACGTCCAATTCATAAGATACAGCGTTTTTGGATTCACCAACTTATACTAAAATAGAACTTAAAGTATTATAATAATATAAATCGCTGCCACTCATAAGTTGAACCCGTCAACCGCCGCTAAGATGTCCGAAACGTTTAAAACACATCCGTCTTTGTGTTTCATCAAAAGACTTTTATATATTTGTCACCTTTAATGATATATATATTAAGTTAAACAAGCCATATTAAATCCTAAATCCAACGGAATACAGTTCAGATTCATTCCTAACATAATCCAAATATTATTTTTACCCTTTTCAGATCTCCTAACGATCTTAAAAGGTTTTAAATATAATAAATGTATATCTTATATGAGAAATAAGTTGTAACGTAATTTTGTTTCAATAATAATTGTGATTATTATTTAATCACATGATTAATTATATAATTCTTTATATATATCGATAATTTTATCTATTTTTCTTCTCGGGACAAACTATTTACATTAATCAATACAATATGTGCAGTCTCGTTACTCTTTAAGGTCGACTTTCGAATGTACCCTGTTATCGGTACTATGATAAAATTAAATAAAATATGCATTATCACATGCATTATTATATATATTTTGGAGATTAATGTCATGTTTATTTTTGAGATCATTTGCGAAATTACGAATCACTATTCAATATCTTTTGATTTCTTTAGAATAAAAGTTATAGTAGTATATTTTTCTGTCAACGTAAGTGAATCCGCGTATTTTTATAAGTTTTTGTGTAGACTATGTAATTTATTTGTGATTATACATCTCGTATTAATTTGGAATTTATAATATCCATAGATAAAGAACATAAACACTATCAGCCTATAATCTAGATTAGTGTTAAGAACACTGACAGTTGTGGCCGTGAGTTCTGAGCGACATTTGATGCCACACGTCGACCTGTCATAATATAAATGAAGATAAAATATAAATTATTAGTTTAAAACTATCATATGAAATAATTAAATATAAAAAAACATGAAAATTATAAGATAACTATAAAATATTTATATATATATACATTTATATATGTTTAAAAAACTATGAATTTTTTATGTTCTGCGGAATGAATACAGGGGCATCACAGAGATAGTGGTTATCGAATATTTTTTGTAAATTTAGCACTTTATCAAAAACCTAGGCTAAATTATATCTTATCGGACGTAGTTTAGGTTTCCAAATGGTTCTAATGTTACACAATAACACGATATTATTTTATGCATTTTTATTCAACGAAGAATTATGTTGATATTAGTTCTGGTAACTTAATAATAATAATTTTACTGTTAGTGTATTTAATATATCATTTTTAAGACATTATAGATTTCAATAAGGTTTAAATTAGAATAATAAAAAATACCTGTCATAGTACAAATAAAACAATATTAAACTTTCACAGATAAAAAAAAGAGTTTAAATTTTTGACATTTGAAAGAAAGATGGCGTCACTTACTAAATATTTGATGTACGTTTGAACATTTTCTTCTATACGCTATAAAAATACTAAATAAAGTCTACAATGAACGTTCTTGAAAATAAATTTCTGTCTAAATAAAACACCAGTCACATAAACGATCATTTGTGCAAATAATTAGGATTACAGTAAGATGCTCAATATAGCACATTGAACAAGTGATTCTAAATAACTTGTATAAATGAGTATTAAAATAAAAAAAATATTAATGATTTGTTTGCGTAGACTTGGTGTAATATATATTTTTAAACTGTCGGCTCGCCATTAAATAAATACATGACTAGACAAATAGCAACTGTTATATACTCGTATGAGGATCCTTTCAAATTGCACACTTGTGTTTGTTTTACAAATTATAAAGTTTTATTCTGGTTAGAACAATATAATGAAATAAATGTTTTTCTATTTATGTAAGAAAAGGTCTTTAAGAAACATATTTAGATTTTATTTAAAGTAACTTTTCGATACAATTTATTTTATTTTAAATTTAAAAGAACGATATGAAGAGAAACGAAAAGAATGTGTTAATTTGAAATATTACTTACATTACTTAATAATAAAAAGTTTCTGTATTTATAGAAATTTTAATAAGGATATATGAAGAACACAGGTCATAAAAATATTTAGGTAAAATACACAATACACTACGAGAATGGAGCAGATATGATTCGACCTCTAAATAACAAATCAGTTATTGGAGTGCTGATATATTATATTGTTGTAATTAAAGTTTTATAAAAATATCCTTATCTCGTTTAAGAACTAAAAACTTAGGCTTTATCTAGCTTAGTGTCAGAGCTCAGGCCTCGTGACCTAACTACCTCTTATCAGAAATCGACTTATAACTTTTGTGTGATAGGTTTTTTTAAATGTTATCCATTGATTGACATTCCGAAGACATGCGTAATATTGTGGAGTGAAGAAAATATTTAAATGATGTTAGTTCAAAGTCGTAGTGATAGTGTTTTAATTAGAGCTGCGATTATCTTTATTTGCTATTTTAAAAAGATAGTAGTATCAGATTTAAATGAATTAAAACTTTAGTGATTATAGATAGCAAGTATAGTTTGACAATATTTAGTGTTACTTACTTCTCAGTTACAGCTCGCCTCCGATTGCGACCGTTTGATTAAATCTGTAACAAAAATGATGAAACTTTAATCATTAGAAATATATGTTAAAGAATGAATATTAAACATTTAATGACTTAGTAACAACAGATCTTAGTCACAAAGCAACATGTTTAATATATATGTAAATATATTAAAAGCTGTCGAGTATCGCGGTGTGCGTGTACATGAGCACAGGGCGATGTTAACCTGAAGCATATATATGTTCTAGTTTCATTAGAGTTACGTAACAAAGCCCGTGAAGGCTTCATTCACAACACACACACACATACACACACACTCGTCCACACACGGCACCCTCACACACGTACAACACTCGCTATTCGCCAACTTTCGCTTTCACGTAGAGCCTACATAGTTTGAATTCCAAGCGGGCCGCTCCGGTTGGCTATTCAAAATTTGACCTTCATTCCGATTGGATGATTTTCGCTCATATACCCGCTGTTTACGGAAATAATGTACACAGCCTTCGTGTTCCGGGACTCCGTATGTACGGAGGATAGAGAGGAGGCCGACCCTGCCCGGCCCTTCCCGGGAACACATAACAAACTTTAGCATTATTTATTATATGGATTGTATGATTTGTTAGAAGTTTATCGGGAAAACGCTCGCCCTTAGAACATGGTGATACTCACTACGTGAGGTCTGTAAGGCGTGTTTTAATGTTTGATAAGTAATATTATCTATCCACACTCTTCTGAAGGGAATCTTCAGCTAACACTAATAATACTTACTAGACTTTTATGTAACGTTTTGGAACTTTTTTTAGAATTTCTATTCATAAATAATATATGAGAGGACATAAGAAATCTAATTCTAAATGTTTGATTCTAAAGCAGACTATTACTACTTTCTATTAATTTTCTTGAAACCTCTCAAAAAATCTCTTAATTTTTATTTTACTATATGTGAAAGCCACGTTTCAAAGCTAGTATATAAGTCTCACTACTTCAGTAACGTCAAAGTATTCTAGCGACTGAACCTACTCGTATCAGTAATACAAAGACTAATTCATTTTTTCTCGGTTCAAATGTTATCTAATTAATACATTTATTAGAATTCTTGTCATGTGAATGCTTTATAGTTTTTTTAATTATTTTTATCAATACTTAAGTTCTTTGGACTGTTTTTTTGCAACCTTTATATATTAAAGAAATTTATTATTAAATTAAATATTTTATGTATTATTGACAATATTATTGCAGTTTAAACTTATAGTTATGTAAAGAGAGAGATAAAAAATCCTTCCTTATGCCGTAGGGTTTTTGACCCGAGCGTTGACTTTTTTACGATAAAATAAAGACATTCATTGACTACAGACTTTCTTGTCTTTTAAGAATTAAAGCATCTCGATATATTATTAACTAGCTTTTATTCGCAACTTCGCATCTGTTTGAAATAAATTTAAATTATTTTAATGTTACATAATCTTTATATACATATGTTCTAATCTGACTCTGACTGCTTCTTCTCTATAGATGAAAGGAAAAAAAGGCTAGATTTAATTTAGCTAACATACATACAAGTTGATCGTAATTATTTATATTTGTATCAAAATTGCAACCCTAACAGTGAGGTGTAAACTAAAGACATTTCTGTCTGTATGTTGTGAGCAGCCTTATCCTTATCTCGCCATCTCAAAGTGAATTTAGGTTATTATTCTATGAGCACATGTCAGCGAACTTTTATTCGCAGTACGTTAAGGATTATAGTACTTCATAAATAGAAGAATGTTGTTCACAAGTTTTGTACGGAATAAAACATTTTTTATTCATCGAGCACAGAACACAGAACACAAGCACAGTGTTCCTGTGTCTGTGTTGAAATCATTTTAACATAGTCATCTGTGTCATTATGAACATTTGTGTTATTTTTAAATAATAAATGTTTTTTATATCGAGCGAGGAGTTTCACTCGGTGGATAGTTTCGCTCATCTATGTTTGTCCACTAATATTTAACCAGCGTATTAAAAACCCTGATAACAGCTGCACTGCGACTAGTGATGGGATGATTGTATCGTTTTATCGATGAACCAGCGCCAATATATAATACGATATCCACGCTATCTAAATTATCGATAATCCGGTGAATAATAATCGAAATAATATTTATATTTCTGTCATTAAATACGTTACGAGTTAATATAAACAATGCCATCGATACAGCCGTTATCGATACGCCGCGTCACATCACTAACCTAGGGCAGGGCCAGTTATCATTGCAGGAGATTGCGAATATGAAAATACACTGATAAGGTGCGCCGAAATAACGCGCAGGAATAGTTGGAATGAAAAAAATGTGGCCAGATATATGTATTTATATATTATTATCTACATTTGTGATTTATTATAAGCGATAATTTAATATAACACATTATATATATGTATTAAACAACACTGTCGTATGTACATATGAATTCTATGAGATACAAGTCATCGCCGCCCGGACGGTCGTACGTAAACAAATAGTCGAACATAAAATAAAAATTAGACGGGAAATATATTGTTTATTATTATTATTATGAATTATAATCAGACGAGTTGTAACGACAACCTTGACATAGATCTGGTCGTATTAATTAGGACGGAGAAATAGATTTGACTACTACACGCTAGTACACTCGCGTGGCACTACTAGTACATGATTAGATCCTTATTACAAGAGTGGTAGAGACCATTTCCGATTAAACGATCAGTAATTAATTAGGTAATACAGGATTCTTGGAAATGAAACATATTAATAATATTCGCCAAAATTATATTAAAAATATTGCGATAACGATAAATGATTTCAAACTATTAATTTTTTCGATGTTCCCTTTGCTTTGTATTAATCTATATATTTGTATGTACATATATATATGTTATATATATATATTAATCGGTATTTCAGTATCCTCATAGACCACCGTGGACGGCGTCTTGTTACGTGTCTTCGCGGAGGACGTTGCGCAAGCGCAGCTCAGGAATTTCATTGTTTAATGTTACCACACTAAATGACATTCGTTACATTTATTATTATATTTTGACCGAAATTAATGTAGGACCACACACACACACACACACACACACACACACACATACACATATATGTATACACGGCGTTGCATGTGCTTATATGTAGCACCATATAAGATATAAATCCTTCCTTGAATTATATTGAAACATACAAGATATATTTAATATTTTCTGGCCCGCACGGACAGCCTCTCGTGTATATTAATTAGTTCTCATTATATTAATTTAATGAACACTAAGTGAACGTGAGCATATTTTTATTTGTCCTGTTGTTTCGGCTTCGTCTAGCCTGATAGCCGTACAGTCGTGCACGCGAGTGTCTGCTGTAATTAATCCTAATTAACGTGTATGGCTTAAATAGAGTCATCGTGTGTTCTGTGACGATGTACGACCTGTACAGCCTGCCTGCACAGCCTGTAAGTGCAGGGCGTGTGGAGCGCACTCAACTGACGCACAATCTACTTAACTAACTTGCACTTACCGCGACTACAAAGAACAGTAGTGATAAAAGCTTCTCTCTATCGCTACAGTTTTCATACGACATTTAAATTATTAAAATATAAAGTTAAGTTGTTAATATTATAGTAATATGTTATTAAAGTGTTTTGTTTGTGAACTGTACATAGCGGTCATTGCCATACATATCTTTGAGGAAAATTCAATGTTGCACAAAAATTCGTAATGTATGTTGTTTTGCACAATATACTTGTATTTTTATAATAAACTATGTTTTAACAATGATTAAACTTTTAAATATTTCATCTAAATAATATTTTTAGTTTGATTGGTTAAAAGAAATATATAATTCTTCATGATTTAGCAATGGAGATTACTATTTTGTAGATCAGGAAGCAGACAAGATTCACCGGCTGATGTCTGATTGAGGAACGTACGAATCAAATTGAATCAGTTTCTGTACAATCAATAATGTTTAAGTAAACCGATAGAACAGATCACAACAGGTGACGACAAGTCACTACAACAGAACTATTATTAACAACACTTTAAATATATTAAGTTTATGATTTTACTTTATTTTTATATAAATCCGCGGGAAAATGTCGATCTGGCTACGTAATGATTTAACACGTCAGTATATTGTAATGGTTTGAAACTTTTATAATTCATTATGTATCACTGTACCAATAATGTATTAATACTAGTATACTAATATTTTAGACATTATATATTTTTTCATATACATACATCGAATCGTTTTACGTACTTTTGTAAATATTATCGACCTAACGTTACTACTGAAACAACGCTGTTCAAATTGTCGTTATGAATTATGTATTTCTTACTTTTAAGTCTCAAAAGTTGTTATATATAGTAATGTATTATATAACATTGAATTTCAAAGCTTACGTCTTCGCGTAACTTGACGTACGTATTAACAATTTTCTCACTTTTGCCGCCAATCTCGATATATATTTTTTTAAATAAAGCTATATACATATTTAATGTAAATACCGATGCTGATGATTTCGTACATTATATATGTCATTGCGCGTTTTACCAAATAAGGTTATCCGTACTCTAACAGAATTTTTGTGCAAATAATATTATCATTATGGCACGACCTTGCTCCCAACTATCACCGAATTTCGGCGGTTCTAACGTCACTGCGACGCGATAAAAAAAATAAAAGAATCACTCACCAACGTTAATATAAATAAAATAATATAATATCCACACACAACACAGCACGATCGTGTCAGAAAAGTTTGATGTTAGCGTGAGTGCCAAATACATCCGCGAGGTGTTCTGCTCATCGCGGGCTGGCCGGCCGCTGCCGACTGGCGGCGCGCACGCACTACCCCCCCCTCCGCGACCCTCGACAACCTCCCCCCCGCCCCTCCGACCCGCGGTCGTCCTACACCCCCCCCTCAGCGGGGTCACCCGGGCGCCCCTGGAGCACCCCCCCCTGGCCGCGTGCACCCCGCCAGCCACTGGCGGGAGGATACGCGTAAAAACTGAAGGGGTGACTGAGGCTGTATGCTAATCCATCGTGTGCTCGGGCCCTTTTTTCCGGGGGGTGGGGATGCAATTAAAAGCCGCGCGTGCGTACGATTAGAACGGAGACGGAGGACGGAATGAGTCTGTCAACGTTTTTTACTTTTTCCTAGTCTGGGACTCTGTAGGACTGTTCCGTAGATATGTGAGGGCAATCGATGATGGTACGTCTGGACGGGGAGCCCGCGGCCCGCCACTACCTACTGCACTATATTAGTATTTGGATGTATGATATCTGCACACACACACACACACACGCACACACACACGACGGAGCTTAGATTAGATAAAAGTAATTATGATGATTCGTTGACCGCTCCGAGGACGTTCATAGTTGAGTCGCGCTAACTACATATGTACAGTAATGAATGACAAGTAAACCTGTCTTTAAGGGAAGGTCGAAGGGTGCGTGCAGCGAGCTGCAGGAGCGAGCTCGTGCAGCGACCTGGAGACCTGTTTCATCACACTACTTCATCACAACCCTTCACTAGACACAATATATGAATATTTATATCATCCCATACGCGACTCTTAGCGGATAGATACTTATTCATTAGTTGCTCTAATATTGAATAATTAATTTTTAATACATTTTAAAGTTTGGTTTATAAAATATCATTGAAAAATTACTATTGATATACTATTGATAAGTTTCAAACGAAATACGAAGATATATGAATTGTTTAACTTTTTCGACGACACAAATCCACTGTTTTGATTTATTATTGAAATAGTAGGTATTTAAATTATAACTTAACGAAAATTAGATGTAGTTTAAAATAAAATATATTTAATTAAGTAATTTAAAAAATTTATTAATCTTCTATAAAAAAATATATTTTTTTATATATTTGGAAACTAGTGCGGACTTATAATTTTTCGAGTTTTATGCAAAAATTAATTAAAAAAAATTACGTTATGTGACTAGTACAAGATATACGTATTTGCAAAATATACTTCAATAAAATGAAATAATTTTAAGAATAACAAATATAACATTTAACATTATTTTTTAATGATAGTAAAAGTACGTTTTTATTATAAATATAATGATATTTAAATATAAATGTATCTTTAAGATCGTCGTGTGTCCGTTTTTTTTCTGAATGGGTTCGTGTCCGCGTCGTAATTATTTATGCAAAAATTGTCTAATAGCAAGCTCGGAGCGCACTCGCACGCTAGCTAGACCCCAGTATTTACTTGCATCGGAACGATCACATTTACATCATAATGAAAACACAAAGGGTGGCTCTAATTGTTAGAGATAGATCAAAATACAAGTTCTGATATACATCTCGAGTGCGACGAGGAATTAAATAAAATAAACTTTATAAAACTCAAGAAAAAACATGACTTACCCGGACAGCGGCCGTCAGAGATCGGTCGAGGAGAGGAGTTACGAAAACATCAACAAAGACACGAGTTAATGTCCGGATCACAGAATAAACAAACTTTAGAACTAGCAGTACGGAATGTATGTGATCACGGAGGAGAGTGACGGCCAATGATAGACCGGCGAGCACACACGCACGTGAGAAACTTTGCACAAGTTGGAGAGGAAAGTTTGGAACACGCGCCGCGATACTCAGCGGAGACCCGGCCTCACAACACAGAGTCGCGGTACTCTAACGCGCCTGTTTATTTATTGTTAATATTTACTATTAATTATTATTATTATATTAATGATATAATAATTTTTTTTTGTTGTCCCGAACGTCCGCCCGTCCGGCAGGGTCCGGCCGGTCTGCGATATTAACACGCGCCAAGTCCACCTTTTGTAATGAAACGTTCACACATGCTTCCGCATTACCGTCCCGATGCCATCAATAATGAAGCCGGGCGGGAAAAAACAAAACGGGCCACCTCTCCCGGCGAGGCGCCCGCCGACACTACAGCCTCCTCGTCAAAGATCAGAATTGCATATCTGGGTTGCGTTAATGAGCGGCGGGGGGGAGGGATGGAGGGGGGAGGGGGGGGGGCACCCGGCCCGGTGGGGGTCGAAAAAGTGGCACCGCTCGCGCGCGAATATAAATTCATCGCCAAAAAATCATTACGCGGGGGTGGTATTACTGCTCTCTGCGCGAGTTCGTTCCTATAGTTTTTAAATCGGGCGCTCACTCACTCTGTCGGCGGCTCGACGGAGACTCGCTCGCAGGCCGACCAGAGGCCGGTCTGCACACGCATGCTGCACGGAGACTGCACGGAGACTGCTCGGACCTCACACGACACGTCCAACACGTGGCATCACCGCCGACCTCACTTACGACGCCTTACATACATACATACATACCCACAGAACAAACTGATCTCCAAACCTTTACATATACATATATAGACAAAAAATAAATATATAATTAATATTTGGGATGGCAATCAATGTGACGTAGGACTTCCGCACAGAGCGGAGTAACTGGCGCGATTGTGTGCGACTCAAATTAAATCTAATACAAAATTGCGTTTTATGTTCCCGCTAGTGCGTGTAGGTGTGTATGGGGGTGAGCGGGGCTGGGAGGGGGGCGCGGGGGGGCTGGTGCTGAGGGCGGCGGGGGGGCTGCGGGGCGCGCGGGGGGGCACGCGGGTCGCGGTACACTCGAGATGATTATTACATATTAGCACGACCTATCAGATATTGAAAAAAAAAACCAGTAAAAAACTTCCACGTTCAAACCTAACCAGTTGAATCGAACGAGATTTACGAGGCTGGATGAGTAAAAATAGATTCCTCCTATATAGAATATATAAATTTTTGTATAAAATTCAAAATTTAAGGAGTATCAAATAATATGAATGTTGAAGCCTAAAACGAACGCCAGCCAACACGGGGACTACGACCCGCGTAGGCGTCTACGAGGTAGCGGGAGACGGGTCAACGTATCTGGTTTGTTTCCGTAAACAGACTGGTTTATTATACACTAATGACTTAATTTATTACACATATATTAAATAATACTTTTTAATACATATATCACAATGAACTCCTTCACTCTATCAGAACAAGTCGAGTTTTGTTAAAAAAAAGTTAATTAAAAGGTCCTAATTAGATAATATATGATTATTAACAAGTTAATGAGTGAAGACTAACAATAGGTTCTAGATTATTTTGTCTAGTGGTTGTAGAGACGGAAGGAGTATTTTTTGATAACACATTAACATAATGCCATCGACTGTACTTTAAAAACGCACACAGGCTTAATGTTAAAAATGAATTACCAACACAGCCTCGCTGCCTCCCCGCTACTCATTTTCATTTCGATGTTTTTGGGTTTTTGCGCAGATGGGGGTGCCTCACCCCACCCCACCCTCGCCCTATGAAAATAGGATATATTTTTATGTTTTATTTGCCCGGAAGCCGGAGCTTAGTTGCATGTTTATTAGAACTTTTTATTAGTAGAAACAATACGGCCATTTCGCGTTTTTTCCCTCGAACTATCGCCTGGCGACCGCCGACGAGAAAACGTCGTCACGGAATGTTTGCTTTGATTACATATTGACGGAATGTTCTTGAATAGTTAGGAAGGAATTGTTATAGAACAATATCTAAATATAGTCTTTCATAATACATTTAGAAAAACTGTAAGGAAGGTATGAATCTCTCTAAATAAGTTCTACCACAGGATACAATAAGTAATACAAATATTACAAGTCAAATCTTCATTCCAATTCTTTCTCTTTCTTCCATTCAAGTTTATCATCACATCTTAAGCTCCGTATATTTTGAATCATTATCAAAGCAGTATCTGACCCGTTCATGAATCTATTTAATTCCTTAGTTCGTCTTATAACCAACTAGTTGTATATTACAACTATACATAACTTGTTAGTTCATACAACATATTTACTGGAATCTAAATCATTAACTATCATCAAAGAATGAAACTAAATAATAATTTCAAAAATACTACCGTGATCACTACCGAAAATACTACCGAAACGTATAGAGTATGTAGTTTTTATCACAAATAAAGTCGCGCAAAATATTAGTTTCATTTAAATAACTGGCCAAAATCTAAGATCTCATTATATTATGATAATACATATAAATATAAAATAAAAATCATCATTAATATGTTATATGTCAATGACTACATATATATACATATTTAATTCACAATTTATTAATTATAATTAGTTGTTAAATTCTCGTTATATATTATCTCAACTCAAGGCGTCAGTTGATGGAAACTGGACCCCTATCACATAACATATGTACAAAGAAATGTCCCTCTCACTGTTCTAATATTAGAATTTTACATACAAATACATAGTCATAAAGAAACTTATGAATTAAGCATAATATTTTTCATTAATTAACGTCTGTTTAAGGTTTAATTATAACCAGTTTTTCTTGTAAGCAAAATGATTTTAACATTAGCCAAATATATGTATAGAAAAATGTAATCAGTCAAATATATATAAAAGCCTCTTTATAAGATAATATTTAACAATTTTAAAGTTAATAATGTTATATTTTGATGTCATGTCATTTTTACGACAACATTTTATTAATAATAATAATTAAACACTATATATAATATCTCATATGTATATATATATTTATTAACTAAAACCTGTTTATATTAAGGTAACAAATGCTTCTTGTACGATCGTAGACGTCTACGAGATGCTCGTCGCTACGGTCTGCTACGCGCGCTACAAACAACTAAACATAATCACGATAACGACTTATTCATTATGTGGCAATAAATAACAGTTTATTCATTATGTTATTTATATTTTTATTCATTTATTTGTTTTAATGATAAGATTATGTGTGTGTGTGTGTGTGTGTGTGTGTGTGTGTGTGTGCGTGTGTGTGTGTTATTAAAAATGAGTAGAATGTTAAGTTAGTTAGTAGTTGAAACTTAAGTCAGCTTTTTCTAATAAAGAGCTTTTTAATTAAAAAGATGATAATCAAAGTAAGATAACTGACTTCTTATTGTGTTTGTTTTGATTAAAAGATACAGATTGAACGGAAACTAGAAGGCATTTAAATACTTGAGAATCTATAGGATCTGCCTCTATAGATGAAAACCTTAACAGACGATGGAAATATGCTTTGAAAATAAAAAGAAATTAAAGAAATAGAGATAGTAAGATGTTTTAAAACAATCGGAGGTAAATTAAAGTTTATTTGAAAAGAAATTTAAGAATAAAAAAACTAAAATACTAAATATTATGTTATATGTATTTAATCATAAACTTAAATATTATTACTTAGTACATATATAAAAGATGAAAACTATATAAGAATGAATTAAAAATATTTAACAAAACACTAAAAGTCAGATTAGTAGAGATAAAACACCTCGCAGCATTTATTTAGAACGGCGATAGAACCTTTGTTATTATTAAAGTTTTCTTTGATAAAATAATTGTAAAGGATATAACAATATATGTTAACTTCTGTATGAAGATGTTCTTCTTCTACCTGGCAATTTCCCAGCTTTAGCCAGGGTCTGCCTTACATGTTGTGAATAGTTTTGGCTAATTGTTTTTACGACCGGCCGCCTGCTATCAACCCTCTTTGGGAATGCATTAATCAGTTCTAATAATTATTCTGTATAAAGAATATTCTTAAACATTTTTAATAATAATATATTGTACACAGATCCTTCGGGTGTCAATCTAACTGCGTCGCGTCACTCACAGTAAGTTGTCACTTTCTCTCATTTCTGAATATAATGATATAAATATGTCAGTTGGTTATTTGGTCGTTTGAAGATACTCTCGATTTATTTGAGAAATTTATTTAAATACTAGTATTTTCCTGCGACTTCGCGTTAATTACGCAATTAGTAATATGTGTATACCTGACTGGTCGATTTCTATTCCGACTTCGAGGCGATAAATGAACAGATATTGTAGTTTATTAAGTTTTTTTTCGATCGAATAGAATTAAATATACAATGTCCGTCTCCTGATTCTAAGCTACGTCCCGCTAATTTTCAACCATATCCCAACAACCGTTCTTGAGTTATAAGTAGTGTGTGTAACTAACACGACTTTCTTTTATATAAATATATACTGTGGATAATATAAGTCTTGTCATTAACACAAATATACTAAAAGCACACAAATTCTGTACATGATTCGTCGGTAGATTTTTTATACGAGTAAAGTTGTTGTGATTATGCTGTTTTATGTTAAAACTAGCTTTCTGCCCGCAGCTTTGCCCGCGTGGAGTTCGGTTACATCGCGTTTCCAAAAGAAACTTTCAATTGTCTGGGATAAAAACTATCCTATGTTCTTTCTCAAGGTCAACTCTATCTCTGTACCAAATTTCATTAAAATCAGTTCAATGTTTTAAGCGTGAAAGCGTTACAGACAGATAGACAGAGTTACTTTCGCATTTATAATATTAGTAAGGAAGTAGGGATTAGATATCAAATAAATCAAAATGAATGAAAAGTCTATCAAAACGATCGGATTAGAGCCTGTGCGTCCCGCGATGTCTCCAATAATATACATGCTGTGTATTAAACAAAGAAAAAATAAATTTACAATGTCCTAGAAATATTTAGGCTGAAGAATGTACTGAAGGTACATTCAGGAACAATTCGACAAACCTAAGTTATATTCTTCTTTAGATTTCTATACATATGGTGTCATATTATTTTATTAAAATAACTAATAATACATACTTTATAAATTACATTCAAATAAAATCTTCTTTATTAAGTTTTATATATTTTATTTTATATGTATTGCATGATTTTAAATACGTAGGCTTTGTAAATCATGATTATTTTATTTTATTACGCCTGTTTCTTTATATACCATTAATATTTTCTCATTTTTTAATAAAATTAATCTAATTATTTTACATATTTATCATGATATATAAAACACAGATTTATATAACCGGAACGAATTGTAAGTTTTAATTGCCAAACGTTTTATGCGCTTCCTCTCAGCGAATCTAAGAATGAGAAAAGATTTGAAAAGCTTAAAAATATTTAGTTTTTATAATAATAATATAAATAACTCTCAAGTTTATTTCATAACTATTAAAACATTTCAAGTACACTCGATGTGAGAGCAGGAGCCGCGTGCGGGAGCTTGTATATTTAAAATTCACAAAAATTATCATTTCGCGTT